CACCGGTATACAGTATAACATGTAGACATTAAGTAAAGACACCGGTATACAGTAACATGTAGACATTAAGTAAAGACACCGGTATACAGTATAACATGTAGACATTAAGTAAAGACACCGGTATACAGTAACATGTAGACATTAAGTAAAGACACCGGTATACAGTATAACATGTAGACATTAAGTAAAGACACCGGTATACAGTATAACATGTAGACATTAAGTATAGACACCGGTATACAGTATAACATGTAGACATTAAGTAAAGACACCGGTATACAGTAACATGTAGACATTAAGTAAAGACACCGGTATACAGTATAACATGTAGACATTAAGTAAAGACACCGGTATACAGTATAACATATGGACATTAAGTATAGACACCGGTATACAGTATAACATGTAGACATTAAGTAAAGACACCGGTATACAGTAACATGTAGACATTAAGTAAAGACACCGGTATACAGTATAACATGTAGACATTAAGTAAAGACACCGGTATACAGTAACATGTAGACATTAAGTAAAGACACCGGTATACAGTATAACATGTAGACATTAAGTAAAGACACCGGTATACAGTAACATGTAGGCATTAAGTATAGACACCGGTATACAGTATAACATATGGACATTAAGTAAAGACACCGGTATACAGTAACATGTAGACATTAAGTAAAGACACTGGTATACAGTAACATGTAGACATTAAGTAAAAACACCGGTATACAGTAACATGTCGACATTAAGTAAAGACACCGGTATACAGTATAACATATGGACATTAAGTATAGACACCGGTATACAGTATAACATGTAGACATTAAGTAAAGACACCGGTATACAGTAACATGTAGACATTAAGTAAAGACACCGGTATACAGTATAACATGTAGACATTAAGTAAAGACACCGGTATACAGTATAACATATGGACATTAAGTATAGACACCGGTATACAGTATAACATATGGACATTAAGTAAAGACACCGGTATACAGTAACATGTAGACATTAAGTAAAGACACCGGTATACAGTATAACATGTAGACATTAAGTAAAGACACCGGTATACAGTAACATTTAGACATTAAGTAAAGACACCGGTATACAGTATAACATGTAGACATTAAGTAAAGACACCGGTATACAGTATAACATGTAGACATTAAGTAAAGACACCGGTATACAGTAACATGTAGACATTAAGTAAAGACACCGGTATACAGTAACATGTAGACATTAAGTAAAGACACCGGTATACAGTAACATGTAGACATTAAGTAAAGACACCGGTATACAGTATAACATATGGACATTAAGTATAGACACCGGTATACAGTATAACATGTAGACATTAAGTAAAGACACCGGTATACAGTAACATGTAGACATTAAGTAAAGACACTGGTATACAGTATAACATGTAGACATTAAGTTAAGACACCGGTATACAGTAACATGTAGACATTAAGTAAAGACACCGGTATACAGTATAACATATGGACATTAAGTATAGAGACGCATGTAAACATCTACGTGTAGTACATAAGGTATAGATTTAGAGGTGTGTGTACTCATTGCATTATTGTTTCTTTATCGTTTAACGCCGCACTTAACACCACGCCAACAAAATGACGATAACTTAAAATTGACCAAACAAGCCATTGGTTGATATAATAATTATGCTCAAAACGTTCAACGATGTCGGGATACGATGACAAGCTATAACCGAGGCTCCCCACCAAATAACCATTCACCGAGGTTATCTACCAAATCACCGAGTCTCTCCAACAAATCACCGAGGGTCTCCATGAGATCACCGTGGCTATCCATCAAATCACCGTCGCTATCCACCAGATCACCGTGGCTATCCATCAGAAAACCGTCGCTATCCACCAAATCACCGTGGCTATCCACCAAATCACCGAGGTTATCCACCAAATCACCGAGTCTCTCCATGAAATTACCGTGGCTATCCTCCAAATCACCGAGGTTATCCACTAAATCACCGAGGTTATCCACCAAATCACCGAGTCTCTCTACCAAATCACCGAGGTTATCCACCAAATCACCGTCGCTATCCACCAAATCACTATGGCTATCCACCAAATCACCGTGGCTATCCACCAAATCACCGTGGCTATCAACCAAATCACCGAGTGTCTCAACCAAATCACCAAGTCTCTCAAACAAATCACCGGGTCTCTCAAACAAATCACCGAGGCTCTCCAACAAATCACCGAGGCTCTCAAACAAATCACCGAGGCTCTCAAACAAATCACCGAGGCTCTCAAACAAATCACCGGGTCTCTCAAACAAATCACCGAGGCTCTCCAACAAATCACCAAGGCTCTCCAACAAATCACCGAGGCTCTCAAACAAATCACCAAGTCTCTAAAACAAATCACTGTGGCTGTCCACCAAATCACCGAGTGTCTCCACCAAATCACCGTGGCTATCCACCAAATCACCGACGCTCCCCACTAGATCACCAAGGTTATCCACCAAATCACCAAGACAATCCACCAAATCACAATGGCTTTCCATCATATCACCGTGGCTCTCCATCATATCGCCGAGGCTATCCTCCAAATCACCATGACTATCCACTAAATCACCATGGCGCTCCACCAAATCATCGTCGCTATCCAACAAATCAACGTGGCCATCCAACAAATCACCATGGCTCTCCAACAAATCACCGCGGCTTTCCAACAAATCACCTAGGCTATCCTCCAAATCACCATGACTATCCACCAAATCACCACGGCTCTCCACCCAATCCAAATGGTCGCCTGTTGAGGCCAGCCTAGGTTGTTGGAGACCGATTCAAACCCGGAATCCATGACACTATATGAACATGAATGACACCCTGTTCATAGGTTTATCTACTCTCGTGCAAGCATATACCATTCGGAAGCAAATATACATAAATCCCCAGAGGGTATATCTAGGCATAGAATGGTGGAAGCTACTGGTCAGACGGCAAGTTTTGGGAAAATATTTTGTATAGAGATTTCAGCATTTTCTTTTTGTATGTGTTTGTATTATTTTTTGTTATGGTATTTGGTACTTATTACAAAACGAAACCGGACAATTAAAGACTTAGTTCAAAAAGTGCCGTTCTAGGGTAAGCAATCAACACTTTTGATGGCAGCCTTCTGAGTGAAGATACCTCATAATTGATATTGAACGTTACACTATCATATAGTGGATGGCTAACCAATCCAATCTTGTATAGCACGGATACTAATCCACATATAGTGTATCGCATATGCCCTTAATAATATTAAAACAATTCCACTAATCATTTCAAATTACATGTGAGTGAGTGAGTATGGTTTTGCGCCGCTGTTACCAATATTCCAGCAATATTACGGCGGAGGACACCAGAAATGGGCTTGTACCCATGTCAAACCTGAGTCTTCGGCGTGACGAGCGAACGCTTTAACCACTAGGCTACCCGACCGCCCCTCAAATTACATGTGTACAACCAGGAATTGGACTAATAGGCATCCAAAATAAGTGTATGATACCTGCGCAAGGCGACCAAATTCATAATCAAGGTATTTGATTACAATTACTTAAGGTGTCCTTTTCTCAGTGACTTAGATTACATAGAAAAGAATTTAAGATCAGAGATAAATTACACCAACGTCAGAAAGGTTTTTTTCTATATATCCGCGGGGAATGTTCACGACGCGAAATATCTTTAATGGATATCAAGTCTACATTGAGGTCATATTACCTTTGGTCATGAAAGGAGATATCAATGACTACGTATCCTCAACCAAGCACTATAATAACATCCTAATTCTGACCACACAAATATACTTATTTTCATGACGTACAATCTCCTTGCCGCCGAATATATATAAAACGACGAACACAGTATTAAGAAATAAAGTTTTGTTATCTTCTTTGTTGAATGCATGTCATTTAATAACCGAGGATATATACAAGAGGTACAAACGCATTGGCAGTGATAACACTATAACACGTGTCTGGTAGGTTTGGTGAACGTTTGATGAGATATTTTGTCTCTACAGATATTTGGTAGATACTTCTCTCATAATGAGCAAGCTCCGTATTGCCCAAGGCAAGTATGAGCAGGGTTCAGTTGCAGTCGATATTCAGAGCGGAACATCATGGTGAGTGTATACACTTGATTCAAATATATGACTTTTGATTTGTTCATTATATGGTAATGCGATGGAAGTTAAACATAGCACTATGATATCTTTAAGTGTGATATCTGGTGTGAAACAACTTGATTAGGGTCGTAAAATATGGAACCATCTTCTTCCAATGGTTTGTGTCCCATCTTAGGGACGCGGTTGTAACTCTCTCTTACATGGCTGTCATGCTCATGGCGACGTGGTTTGCTCTGAGGTATTTTTCGAAATCAGGTCTCTTGAGGAATTTGTATTAAGTTTTGTTCTGCTCAACAAAGTTCAGTCAAGTCTCGTTTAACCGACACTCGTTAATCCGACAACCGACTTTATCCGACACTAATGATGGGAACCGATTAAATCAGTGCTATTTAGACCCGGTAATCCGACAGTCCGACACACCTGATTTGCAACGAATTACCGAAATCACTCATTAATCAGTCTCGTTAATCTGACAGTCATCAGCGTACTCCGTGGTCATCTGCCCTCGAGTACACTGCCCGTGTTTTAATGCGAGACGTGTCAGTTGGTAGCTGCATATTACCACAGCTGCAGAGAAAAACTTGAATAACAATAAACAATCAATGCTTTTGATAAAGAAAACAGGATTAATCACATGCTTAGACTACCTCAATCTCATTAAAATCAGATACAAGTTCTTGCTATCGCCGAGGACATCCCATAATAGGTCACGCCAGAACAACCTTTCGCGAACCTATGTCTTATAAAGTTGCACTGTAGTATATTATTGATGTTATCTGTTCGTATTATTGCCTTAAGACCAAGTGTTGCTTTGGATAAAACAATTTGTCATTACAGACAGAGCAGATGACACAAGAACAGATTTCAGGTAGGTACATTGTGTAGTCCTACAATAGTAAATGAGTGAGTGAGTGAGTATGGTTTTACTCCGCTTTTAGCAATATTCTAGCAATATCACGGCGGGGGACACCAGAAATGGGCTTCACACATTGTACCCATGTCGGGAATCGAACCCGGGTCATCGACGTGACGAGCGAACGCTTTAACCACTAGGCTACCCGACCGCCCCTACAATAGTAAATGAGTGAGTGTTTGTGTGAGTGAATTGGATTTAACGCAGCTTTTAACAGCATGTAAGTTACATACGCCAAGCTAATGTTTGAGGAATGTCCAATAAGATGCAATATGATGAAAGTCTTTACGCGGACGTGGTGCTGACAAACCAAGATTCTCGAAATTGCATACCTTGGACACGAACCCACGGCCATGGGATCCTTAAAGGGAAAGATGGAGGTCAAAGCTGATGTAATGAAGTGAATTCTGAATGACAATGTTTGTAGGTACAGTGACACAGCTATGTCACACATTGGAACTAATACAACGCAGCAATAATTTCAAGGTCTTAATGAGTGAGTGAGTGAGTTGGGTTTAACGCCGCTTTCAACAGTATTCCAGTTATATCGCGGCGTATCAGCTTAATGTGGGAGGAAAGCCCGAAGTGATGCAGGTGTCAGACGTTTACCACTTCGGTGAAACCCACGAGCACGGGTATGGTGCTGACAAACCTAGAAACATAATCGAGGCGAACCGGGATTCGAACCCACAATCATAGGTTTCTGCCGTGCCCAAGGGACGCAACTCTGCACAGCGAATAGCGGCGCCTTAGACGACTGGGCCAGCCGTGCCCCTTCAAGGTCTTAATGATATGTTAGTTACAAATTTAAGCGTTTCCATATTAAAAAGTTACTCTTTTTAACATCTTCCATTTAACATTACATAGTAAATATGAAAAAAAGATTACTGCACTTATAAAGTGCCTATCTGCTTGTACGAGTCCAGACTAATGCCGATTATTAGTGCTAGCCCACTGAGATACCATGCCGCAGTTTAACATGATTACCCCACTTGACACAGTACACTGACTGGTCCTGGTTTTAGCCCCTCAATATTAAGCCGAGCGCCAGGCATGGTAACAACCACTACCATCTTTTAACGTCTTTTGATAAGACGCCGGGGATAGAACCCGGACTTTCCGCTCTCCGGGAGAACACTCTACCCTCAGACTACGGAGGCGGCCATATTAGTGGCGACAAAACAGAATATGATAACGGTTATCAGGAAGATGATGACATTATGTTTACAGAATTCAAGGAGGCGTTCGGTCTTTTTGACAAGGATGGTGATGGGAGTATAACGACCAGCGAGTTGGGGACGGTAATGAGGTCCCTAGGGCAGGAACCTTCACAGACAGAGCTGCAGAACATGATCAAAGAAATAGATGTTGATGGTAAGATGTCAGAAACCAATTCAACATAAATAACACATAACTCCATATTGTGCTACAAGCAAGCCTTCAGCCACATTTAAACATCATTCGAGTTACCTACAATTAATGTGTACAGTGACATCTTGTTAACTCGTATTCCTACACATTTATAAATAGTTTAAGACGATGTTACGCTACGATGCAGTCTGGAGACGTATATTGTTACATCGGCATTCGACATGCCTGCATATGAACTATCGGTCAAAAGAAAGTATACACCCATGTTTGATGGTAGCTAAAAATGATGGTCATTCAATGGTGAGGTATTTAATACGACCTTGCGTTTGCAATGTTTCGACGACTGCCTTCAGCCTAGTAACGTTTTGATAACGCTTATAAAGTTTGGGTCAAATCAAATTTTCACGTGTAAAGTGTCTATCTTTTGCCCGGTAGTTTATATAACTTCGATTAAACGAGGCTTCACTACATTGATCATACTGTTGGGATCATCTGTACTGTTTAACCTTTCGGATTTAGTTCGGTTATGTTTCTATTGTATGGATAACAATATCATAAGTAACGTAATAGGTATTCCATTTCATTCGAAATATTTTCTCCAACCATCTACCCTTTAAATTATCAAAATATCCGAAAAGCTAGCTTATCTTTTAGTTATTAATTCACTGATTTTCAGAGATCCATTCATAAAATTGTCATTACAATTTTGCCTTTTACAAATTGTAGGGTCTGTTTCGGCAGCTATTCAAGACGTTTTGATTTTTATTATATCTCATACGCACGAGACCTGTTATATTGATAACTTGTGTTTTACGAATGATCACGGCCAATATGACATTGACTACTAACTTTAAGTTTATTTTGTTTAGGTAACGGATTAATAGAATTTCCTGAATTTCTTGCCATGATGGCCAAACGTATGAAATCTGACGCCGATGACGAGATGAGGGAGGCATTCCGAGTGTTCGACAAGGACGGCAACGGTTTCATCAGTGCAGCTGAGTTGAGGCATGTCATGACAAACTTGGGCGAGAAGTTGACAGACGAGGAAGTAGATGACATGATCAAAGAGGCAGACACCAATGGCGATGGACAAGTAGATTATGACGGTATGGTTGTATTGAAATTATCATGCCTGGCTGGCAATAATGTGTAGATGTCGAAATTAGACACGTGTGAGTGGCATTTAAAATGAAACAACCATAGAATTGTAATCATATGGAGAAGTATTTGATATGGGTATCATGGTTATGTTCTTGACCTCAAGTTTTCTGCGTTTCGGCGACTGTTTTCAGCCTATTTACGTTTTGAAAACGTTTGTAATTGTTTGATCACATCCAATATTCAAGTGTATACTTTCTTTTCCCCACCAGTATTAAACGAGGAACGCTGATCATACTAGTGGAAAGTGTCTGCTTGTTTTGTTCGGCAGTTTTCTTCATGTTTATTTCCGAATGAAAACCTCGGTATATTTACATATCACTAGTCTGCGATAACAATAACATTAATGCAGTGCTACACCAACTACCAGAAGGTGACATATCGTTAGGCATCATTTGTATACAAAAGTGTTCTCACTTTACTTCAGTTTTATTCAGTATAATTACTATAATATGTCACTGTTATTCGATGGTTTGCCGCTTGCCATCTTCCCGAGGCAAATGAGTTAACTGACTATTAAAGACCCGTGGCAACTGGACTGTTATGGTCAGTTAACCCCCATACCTCGAGAAGATGGCCACAAACAAACAAGGACAAGGACACTCGGTTTGAGTATTATCTAAAAAGAATGTGTACACGTTATATTTGAATTACATTTATGATACATATTCTGATGTCAAAGCGAGACTCGTTAATATGAAATACAGCCATCTTTATGCATTATGCAATGAATGGCCGTGCCGTCTTCTGTGGACCTTCAGTTGAACCGTTGGCATAGCCAGTATTATTACTGAATAAACTTAAGAATACAACAGGATATTTGCTCTCAGTATTACATTACTACTGTTATCATTTCAGAATTCGTGAGGATGATGAAGAACCAGTAATGTTCTGAGGGAAGGTCTTCATACCAGCTTATATAATCCACTTGTTTCATATTTGTGGGTCTATATTTCTGGGTCTCGTACACCTTCCAGTAACAACAAACAAGTGATGTGGAATCAAGTATGAGTTATACGGAACATGCACATACTACCATTTCATCATATAATGGATAGCGTGAAATCGCCCTTTCCCTTCTGAAGAAGTTACTCAAGACTATCCAACTGTGGGTTATTGTTGAATAAATTTATGATATTTTATTTAATTTCAGTGAGTCTGTGTTTTTGTCCCTAAAACAATATCTTCTCCATAATTTCTTCACCGTTCTACACCAACCCTATTCTCCTCTAATATTGTCTAACTCTGTTCTACTTTGGTCCTTCTCCGTTCTACATAAGAGCTTCCAACTTGCACCCCATCGTTCCCATTCTTTCAGTATACCGTTCTACTCTAGTTCTTCTCCTTCCTTTTCTTCTCTTCTCGGCACGGCTCTTGCTCTTCCTCGTCCTAATTTAGCTCTTCTTCATTGAACTGTAGCGTAGCTCTTCTTCTCTGTTCGGCTGTACCCCCATCCCTTATTCTCCGTTCCTCTCCAGCGCTTCGCCGCTTTTTCTAGAATGGCTGTCCTTAATTTTACAATGGGTCGTCCCCGTTCTTCTTCATCTGTGCTTCATTCTACTAAGGCTCTTTACCGTTACACTCAGGTTCTGCTCCGTTTTACTCTTGTAAGAGGTTTTAAGAAAGTAATCCTTATGCATTCTGCTAAGGTTATTTGCCGTTACACTCAGATTCTGCTCCGTTTTACTCTTGTAAGATGTTTTAAGAAAGTAATCGTTCATGCATTCTGCTAAGGTATTTACCGTTACACCCAGGTTCTGCTCCGTTTTACTCTTGTAAAAGGTTTTAAGAAAGTAATCGTTCATGCATTTTCTTTATATCAAACTAATATTTTTTTTATATGTTTTACAATAAGATAATAAATAATAATCAGTACAACAAAAAATACTTGTAAAACAAATCGGTTGTGATGAGAGATAAAAATAAAGTACGTTGACTAACTAAACAACTGTTTTTTTCACGTTCGGTGAGGATTTAAGAAACAACGAGATATCCTGGTGTGAGTGTGTGTTTGTGTGTATAAAACCCATTCACGGCATCTTTGAGGTCAACGTTGTCGTTATAGCCCTTTCCTCCTTTCTACCCTAGCTCTTCCCTGTTTTACTCTGGCTATCGCTGTTCTTCCCTAGCTCTTCCCCGTTTTGCCCTGGCTATCGCTGTTCTACCCTAGCTCTTCCCCGTTTTACCCTGGCTATCGCTGTTCTACCTTAGCGCTTCCCTGTTTTACTCTGGCTATCGCCGTTCTGCCCTAGCTCTTCCCCGTTTGACTCTGGCTATCGCTGTTCTACCCTAGCTCTTCCCCGTTTGACTCTGGCTATCGCTGTTCTACCCTAGCTCTTCCCCGTTTTACCCTGGCTATCGCTGTTCCACCCTAGCTCTTCCCTGTTTTACTCTGGCTATCCCTGTTCTACCCTAGCTCTTCCCCGCTTGACCCTGGCTATCGCTGTTCTACCCTAGCTCTTCCCTGTTTTACTCTCGCTATCCCTGTTCTACCCTAGCTCTTCCCCGTTTGACCCTGGCTATCGCTGTTCTACCCTAGCTCTTCCCTGTTTTACTCTAGCTCTTCCCCGTTTTACTCTAGCTCTGAGCCGTTCTGTCCTAGCTCTTCCCCGTTTTACTCTAGCTCTTTCCTCGGTTTTACACTAGCTCTTTTTTTTCCTACTTTAGCTCTTCTCCATTGCACTGTAGCTCCTCTCTGTTCTATTCCAGCTCTTCCCCGCTGTACTCCAGCTCTTCCTCACTATGCTCAAGCTTCAAACAAACACTTATCAGACATAACAGAAAAGGTATAGCAGTCAGAATTAAATAGACCATTACATTCCACAGCACCCAGCCCAAACCACCGTTTTCCAAACATATCACATATGGAACAACCATGCCAGAGTTCACATTGACATATACCACTTTGTGAAGTGAACACATATACCCAGACACTCCGAATTACTATTATCCAAAACGGTCATAACAATTTCACTGTGCATTGAAAGTTACCATTGCATGTTTGAACTACACCATAGCGATTTAAGTCACGCATTACATGTTTCAATGTATCCTTTGTACGACCAGCAAAGCCTTGGCACTAACAATCTAAGTGCTTCCCACCTTCACTAACTCTCCTGCAGAGACTTACACAGTCACAAAAGACGTCTTCTCTCTTTTATTGTCAACATTTCAGTTACAACTGCTTTTTTCGTCTCTGAATTATAGCAGTCTATGTTCTATACAGACTGTCGATAAAAGCTGTATAAATGTTGGACCATACAGAGAACATAGTCAGGCAGTTTGCCATTTTGGGTGTGTATTCTTACGGCTTCACCTGTGCAACTAGTACCTGTAGACATCATGGTAAGTGTAAAATTTACTGCTCCCATTAACGCCGCTTAATTAAGTAATTACTGTTTGAGCATTTATCGCTAATGAGAGTTAACGTTTATATTCAAATTGTCACTAAAGTTTCAATGCTTTTTTAATGGAGACACAGCTGACGTCATGTAAATTCTCATTGCTTTCAGCAATCTGAATACGAGCTATCGGAGGAACAGATTAAAGGTAATGAATGTTATACTCGCAGTCTATACAAGGCAAATTAGAGACTTCACACCAAGCAATAATTTATTTGCGTAATTATTAGGACGTGGAACAATGCCATACATTGTGTTGATGCTATTTTAATCTTTAGAAGATGGATGTGATTTGTCCATCAATTATGTGTCCTGGTGAAAATAATAGTGTCGAATAAACATCTTCGACCAAAACATTGACCCTGACCTTCAGGAATGTGTAGCTCTGCGTTTCATTGAATTTGTTTTGAGTACGAAATGCTGTATCTGGATAAGATGTAATTAACATGCATGCCTGCATGCTGTTTACCACACTAACGGACATAAACTGTTGTCATTTTTAGTTGTTACACTGGTAACATTTGACTTGAACACTAATAATATGTACTCATCATACACTCAGATTTTACAAACGCCTTCAAAGAGTTCAGTGGAAAAGATGAAGGAACTATTGCAACCGAGAAGCTGGGAGCAGTGTTGACGAAACTGAACCTGGACTTATCAGATGTCGAGCTCAAGGAAATGATCAGCGAAGGAGATCCTGACGGTACATTTAATGTTTTTCTCAAATGAGTCACAATCTTAACATAACATTAGCCTCCAAAGCATCATTCGCATAACCGACGTTATTAACTGATCATTTTGAGAAATGAAACAAAAGATTCATTATCAGTACTAAAAAGCGGCATCTCTAGAGGATAATGAGTGAGTTAAAATTTAACGTCGCATCGGCATTGTTTCAGCCATATAGCGACTCTAGAGGATTAAAAATTGATCTTCCTAATCGGACTTCTGTTGGTCGAAAGTTTCAGACCGGTTTAGACAGCTGTCCGAATCGGGAGATACAGAAATAGAATATAAAGATAAAGTTGAACGAAATGTTATGTATCGTAATAAGTTTGGAACTGTAAATGTGGTCGTGTGTTGACAGAAATCCGGAATAGTATGATAAGATTCCAATGTACATGTATTACATATTACTTATATTTCCCACACACTGCTTCATTGATAATTTACGCCATATCTATTTTTTTCAGGAAAGGGCACACTAGACCTTCCTCAATTTCTTAACATGATGTCAAAGAAGCTCAATGAAGAGGAGGATGAAGAGGATGAAGATGAAGAGGATGAAGATAGTGAGGAAGAATACAGAGCAGCATTCCGCCTTTTTGACAAGGATGGCGATGGTTCTATCAGCGCGACTGAAGTGAAGGCGTTCCTTATAAATATGGGCGAGAACTGGACCGAGGAAGAAATTGACGACATGATCAATGAGGCTGATGCTGATGGGAATGGAGAAGTCGACTACGAAGGTGAGCATCACATCCCTGAACCCCCCCCCCCCCCCCCCCCCCCCACACACACACACACACCACACACACACCCTTCCACTCCACTCCCCCAACCAATACAATCAAATAAAGTTAAGCAACATGCCCATTCAGCCTATTGTTTGTGGTGAAATGTTTCCGTCATCTGTACCGTGACCGTGACCTTCACGAATAGTAAAGACGAAATCACAGGTTTCGCGAGCACCTGGTGTCATCGGTGTAACGTATTAGTGATTCTGGAACGGACGCCCCTATTCTGTTTTATTGTCGTGTGGCAAAGACACTGAAAGTTTGACATTGTTACTTACACTGCTGACAACGGGCATAACACACCATCACAAATGCTGATGATTGAACCATCAGTGATGTCGCTTTTTTTCTCAGAATTAATATACGTTATGCCTATACACATCACGCAAGGCTAAATTAAAATATATATATATAACATCCCTATTTTTTTATTGTCTCCTGCAAACTGATTTATATCATCTTCATTATGTTTCAGAATTTGTGAAGATGATGAAGTCAAAGTGAGTTCGAGAGGATGGGAAATATATATAAACATGGTAGACTCATCAAGTGGACCTAGCCAGGAAAAGGACGCTATAATATCCATACATTTCATTTGTCTCTCATATCAACTCAGCATGTGTACGAGTCAAAATAAACGCAATTGAAACAATTTCATAATTCGTTCTTGTGCTTCTTTGTTGGTAATGACTGTTTGAATTGAGTCCAACTTAATGTGTTCAAACTTGCCAATATCATATGATAATAGTTGCAATGCTCAATGCTGAAATTAAAGTACAAAATGCATGTACGTGGCAGGTTAGGTAAGTTAGTGTATAAAAGGCAAGTAGGATCTTCTATCTATTCAAATTGTATTACACATCCATGTTGATGCGACTGAGTGAGTGTTTGATAAGCTTGAGATGAAATCCCGAAGTGATGCAGGTTCCAAACGTTCACCACTTTGGTGAAGTGACTACCTCTATTGAAACACATATCGTCACAATACGTCTGTTGAAACTGTTACTAGTCGATTCCCAAATTGAAACAATATGTTAACCCAGAAGTCGGTACGGAAAAAAAACCTCAAAGTGAAACCAACAAACAACCAATAATTGGAAAACAATCAACAATGGCACAAAAATTAACTAGGTTTACAAATCAATACAAGTTACTGCACAGCAATTGCAATGACAGTACACAATAACGTGGTTATACAATATCAAGTGACAGTATATAACATGATGGCAGTGGTCAGTGTCAAAGATAAAGATACAGTGGTGATAGCAAAAGTCAGTACCATAATATATTCACCCAGCGGCGACAGTGGTCAAGCTCCCCAGATGACCTAGACAGGGAATCAGGGTTGATGAGTGATCTTCACAAGAAAGCCGGTCTTGATGTGATGAAATGTGTAAAAGATACAAGAGACACGCTCTTGTCCTCTTGTATTCAGCCTAACTGGCTACTGGAAATTTCTACACAGTGCCCTCGCCTGTCTGGCCGCACCAGACCATTACAGAATATTCCACATCCACGGTATTCCGGAAGTTTACATATCACACTAGCATCTACATATAATAACTTCCTAAAACCTGCTTACGTTAAATAGTACTACATTCCTGACAACTAATCACCATCCAAACACAATGCAATGAGCGTTTACCGAATCCCAACAGAAACTATGTAACAGGGTTACAATCATTCTTCAACAATGAAATACACTGCCATATACAAAAGAGTGAAACTGAGACATTTGCTTCACCAAACATCCTGGGTACTAATATATGTCAAGGTATACGACGTTCTAAATTAACCATAGCGCAGATGCGAATTCTGATGCGAATATTGTCCCCAAAACAACATCGCCATTATGGCTTCACTGATTTCACTGTATCCTACACCACGTTACCATAACCACTGATAAGAAGTGTAACATCCATAATTCGAACCCACACTCTCTGAGTGAGGCACCTAATCGCCAGCACACAAAGTCAGCTATCTAACCCACTCAGACACCGAGGCTTCCATAAAGTTTTCGGACTTCCAGTTGTCCCGGATGAGCGCCAAAAGGTACTAAAATTTGTACTTTACTATGAAAGTGTTATCCCAAATACAACATTTGTTACATTTGACCACTTTCTAAAATGCATTGTGATAAGAAATGGTTTGACAGGTTCACGCTAGTTTTACACGCTTTCAATAACATATTGACAATAACACTTCATTGTATGATACAATACCGATGTTCAACACCTATAGAAATTCCACCTGCAAACATGTGCTGACAAAAGATGCCTCATATGACTGTCTGTCTGGTATAACTAATTTACCATATGAATTGCATGCACTCTATTTTACTTTCACATGTACATAATGGCTTTATAACTGTTGAATATACCAAGATAACATTGAGACAGGTGAGCCACTTTGGTCTGGTATTCTTGGGGCGACACCTGTACCAGAAACACCTGCAGACACCATGGTAAGTCGAGATTGTTATGTATATGCAAAGCTAAACTGGTTTTATGGCCCAATGTGTGGCTACATTGTAATTTTTATTAAATGTGCTTTTGGAGAACAATTTCTGTAATAATAATTTAAGTGATTTTAAAGACCAAACGTTAGACAAATTCGAAATTTAGATCTTCCTAATGGCTTTCATTTTTACAATATTCGTAGAGAAGAAGACAATTGAAGAAACATTGGCCCGTGATATATGCCATTGACTTGTTACATAGAAATGAACCAGTGAAGATCCGGGTGGGAATTGGTCTTCAGCAACGGGATCGAGTGGTCAGGCTCGCTGACTTGGTTGATGCATTCATCGTGCCCAATTGAGTAGATCGATGCTCATGATTTTAATCAGTGGATTGTCTGGTCCAGACTTGATTTTGTACAGACCGCACATAGCTGGAATATAGCTGCAGGTGGCATTGAACAACAAACAAGCAAAAAAAACCATAGAGATGAGTTGAGGTGAGGTGAAATGGGGTTTAACGTCGCGCCAAAGATGATTTCACTTATAAACCGACGTGCTGGCACGTGTGTGCCTGGCTGATTGTACTAGTCCGGACTAATGCCGATTTTATAGTGCTAGCCCACTGAGATACCATGCTGCAGTTTAATATGAAAACCCCACTCAGACACATTACACTCCCAGACTCCCAGCCGACATGTCCTTGTTTTAGCCCCTTAATGCCGAGCGTCCAACAGGGTTACAACGAATCTCTGAACGTCTTTTGGTATGACGCGGCCGGGAATCTTACCCTGGACCTTGCGTTCTCTGACGGAAGCTCTACCACTATATCACGGAGTCGGTCAACAGACATAGAAACTAATAGTAATATCCCAAGAATTTGAGGTTTTAATTCATCCTAAATGTTTCATTTCTCTTTTTTTTCAGGCGGACGTGTTGACCGAGAATCAAATTGCAGGTACAGTTGCATATTTTGCTATGCGTTTACACTGTAGCTGAAGCATACATAAACTTTTTGTTGGAAGTGTGTGTAACACGGTATCAATTCATCTGTGCAACTGATGGCTACAAATACTCCGATATGACACATTATAATAATCTATCGATCGTCATATAAATAAGGGGGCATGGGTGGCCCAGTCGTCTAAGGCGCCGTGATTCACTGTGCAGAGTTGCGGCCCTTGGGCACGCCAGAAACCTATGATTGTTGGTCCGGTTCGCCCCGATTATTTTTCTAGGTTTGTCAGCACCAGACCCGTGTTCGTGGATTTCACCGATGTGGTAAACGACTGAGACCTGCATCATTTCGGGCATTAAGCTTACACGCCGCGATATAACTGGGATACTGTTCAAACGGCGTAATAGCCAACTCGCAGACACACTCATGTAAATAAAAAAACGTCAGCGCCAGAAGGTTATCACTCTCGACGATCCTCCGAAACAGGTTCCATTGGGCGTAAAAGGCAAAATAGTCGTTAAAACTAAATGAAGGTATCACTGAAAATGACACGGTGTTTTTGCGAAAAGGGTAAGCATCTTCCGGTAGCATCCGCCATTCACACAATTTGCACAGAAAGGTATGTGCCTGTTTCTTGTAAAACGTGACGCTGATTATGGTCAGAAGATCAAGTTATATGTTCATATGGTTATCTGTGTTGAATTGTCTGTTTTGTATTGTTTAAATCGGGTGTGAGGGTCAAAATTATTTGTTCATCATTTTAGAAATGCGAGAGGCGTTTGGTCTTTTCGACAAAAATGGCGATGGAATGATCACGACGGCAGAATTGGGCGCTGTCATAAGGTCATTAGGACAGAATCCAACGGAAGGAGAGTTGCAGGACATGATCACTGAAGTAGACGAAAATGGTAAGACACATCGGGTTTTATTGGTTCCAAGATAAAACTACGTTTATCGCATATACATCATGAGAACAAATGACTAGTGACAACAGGGTGGACATTAAAAAAGTAATGCCTCATTAGTATTAGTTTATCTGTTCTAACAAATTGGAAGCGCGAATTCATACAAACAGGGGCGGCCGGGTAGCCTAGTGGTTAAAGCGTTAGCCCGTCACGCCGAAGACTCGGGTTCGATTCCCGACATGGGTACAATGTGTGAAGCCCATTTCTGGTGTCCCCCGCCGTGATATTGCTAAAAGCGGCGAAAAACCATACTCACTCACTCATACAAACATAAAACGCCAACGCCAGAGAATAATCGGTCTCGATTATCTGCAGAAACAAATTACACTGGGTGGGAAAAGGAAAATATCAGTGAAAATTTTATGAATGGGTCATTGTTGGAAACCTCCGCTCATTATAAACCTTGACACCAGACCACATTATGTGGACAACTGATTTCCCTACTGATACTGCAGGAATTCGTTCGCAATAAGGATATTTATATCCATGGCTATTTGATAAAAAAGATGTGGTCAGTGTTGTAGCACATCACTTATACAAATTATTTATAAGATAGCTACGCGACAAATTACAAAGAACGATGAAGAACGAAGTGTGGTTTATTTAGCGATAAAACATTGTATTATCATGACGTTATAAAGATTCGAACATGCGCTCGCAACTTGATGACATCGTATAGTGAACGACGTATTTTTGAAAGGGGGGTGTCTTGTGAGTTGTTCCCCTTAGATGTAGCTGGGCAACGCAGATAAACGCGATGGCCGAACGATTGCATCCAAAAACGGGAGAGATATGACAATCGGTATTGAGAAACAAATTTCAGGTAATTGACGTGAAATTGTGAGATTATGCGGGAAATACCCAACTGTGCATAAAATGGACTTGCCCGACATTGCCGAGGTCGGATTCTATTGAGATAGTCATCATTATAAAAATACGGGTATATGTTTTTAAAGCTTGAACATTTTCTCATCATCCTTAAAGATGCTTTACATGATGTTGATACACTCGGCTGTGCCTCTCATGGTTTATTCTCCCTGCAGTGTTTTATTGTGCGATAAACAACGACCAAGAGTCGTTTGTTTCTTATTCGAGATATCAACATGGTTTATTCTCCCTGCAGTGTTTTATTGTGCGATAAACAACGACCAAGAGTCGTTTGTTTCTTATACGAGATATCAACATGGTTTATTCTCCCTGCAGTGTTTTATTGTGCGATAAACAACGACCAAGAGTCGTTTGTTTCTTATACGAGATATCAACATGGTTTATTCTCCCTGCAGTGTTTTATTGTGCGATAAACAACGACCAAGAGTCGTTTGTTTCTTATACGAGATATCAACATGGTTTATTCTCCCTGCAGTGTTTTACTGTACGATAAACAACGACCAAGAGTCGTTTGTTTCTTATACGAGATATCAACATGGTTTATTCTCCCTGCAGTGTTTTACTGTACGATAAACAACGACCAAGAGTCGTTTGTTTCTTATACGAGATATCAACATGGTTTATTCTCCCTGCAGTGTTTTATTGTACGATAAACAACGACCAAGAGTCGTTTGTTTCTTATACGAGATATCAACATGGTTTATTCTCCCTGCAGTGTTTTATTGTGCGATAAACAACGACCAAGAGTCGTTTGTTTCTTATACGAGATATCAACATGGTTTATTCTCCCTGCAGTGTTTTATTGTGCGATAAACAACGACCAAGAGTCGTTTGTTTCTTATACGAGATATCAACATGGTTTATTCTCCCTGCAGTGTTTTACTGTACGATAAACAACGACCAAGAGTCGTTTGTTTCTTATACGAGATATCAACATGGTTTATTCTCCCTGCAGTGTTTTATTGTACGATGAACAACGACCAAGAGTCGTTTGTTTCTTATACGAGATATCAACATGGTTTATTCTCCCTTCAGTGTTTTACTGTACGATAAACAACGACCAAGAGTCGTTTGTTTCTTATACGAGATATCAACATGGTTTATTCTCCCTGCAGTGTTTTATTGTACGATGAACTACGACCACGAGTATCTACTGATTTGCTCTTTCCCTAGAGAGTGGGACCATTGAGTTTCCTGAATTCATGACAATGATGTCCAAGAGAATGAAGGAGGAAACCCCAAAGGAAGAACTTTATGAAGCTTTCCAAGTGTTTGACAAGGACGGAAATGGTTACATCAGTACAACTGAGTTGAGGCATGTCATGACAAACTTGGGTGAGAAGTTGACAGAGGAGGAAGCTGAGGAGATGATGAAGACAGCAGATTCTTCCGGGGATGGGCGAATAAACTATGCAGGTGAGTCAGACAAGAATATATAACTTCGCAAAATCTATTGACACAGAAATCCGAACAATATATGAATGACATAGTAAAACTTTGTAATTCGTGTATGAGCAGTACATTTATGTAATACTGGTATTTTCTGGACTAAATATCATGTTCATGGCATAGCAAGTTGGAAAACACGGCATCAAACATGTTTGGGAGATGGGATTCGTGAGTGTGGTACCTGTCTTACGATGCGGATTATCATCTCACATTAGATAACAGTAAATTCTTTTCTGTTTGTACATCTGATCAAATTAAATGAAGCTAATGAAGAATTATATGGATTTAATATTTTTCAGAATTCACGAAAGTGATGATGTCAAAGTGATTCAGGGAGGACGTTTGATGCTGATAAGTCGTCCAGGCGAAAGAATTCATTGCAGTGAAACTGGACTTTTCACCGTACATAAGTGCTCACGAAATTTACTGTTTTAGCTATAGTCAGGTGGGGTTTCTTCTTGTTCAAAACGACATCGGTTTTCAAGTGCATGTATTTCAATAAACAGTCTATGCATCATTCCATATCTTGATATTTGTTTGTTAGAATAAACTAATGTGGTAAAGAGTGAGTGAGTGGGTTGGGGTTAACGCGGTGGGAACAGTATTCAGTCTTATCACGGTATGTCAGCGAGGATGGTGGAAAGCCCAAAGGTATGGTTGTTTTACGTGTGTGTGTGTGTGTGTGTGTGTGTGTGTGTGTGTGTGTGTGTGTGTGTGTGACTGTGTGTTGTGTATGTGTGTGTTGTGGCCCGGTGTTTCTGTTTGTGTGTGTATGTGTGTGTGTCTTGTATTTGTGTATGTGTGTTGTGTTTGTGTATGTTTGTTGTGTTTGTGTATGTGTGTTTGTGTGTATATGTGTGTGTCTTGTGTTTGTGTAACTGTGTGTTGTGTATGTGTGTGTTTCTTACCGGTGTGTGTGTCTGTGTGTGGGGTGTCGGGTGTGGGTGTACCGTAGTGTGTTGTAACACATACTGAATGTGAGGTAGGTACTGCATTGAAAATACTATGAGGTACTCGCATCGCCTATTCTCGGTACAACATAGCGAAAATAAAGAGGAACAGTACAATCGAGATACCACCCTGTAGGCAGAATCTTAAATGATGTGTGTGTGTGTATGTGTGTGTTTTGTGTTTGTGTGTGTGTGTGTGTGTGTGCGTGCGTGCGTGCGTGCGTGCGTGCGTGTGTGTGTGTGTTTGTGTGATAAAGTAACGCTACAACTCCATCCCAAAAAAAACCCATAAAGCAGACCAAACAAACACCCCACCAAATATAACAACACCATAATAACACACAAAAACACAAACAAAAGAAAAGAAACATATTTACACACTTTTCAATAACATTAATGAGAAATTGATCATCTTTTAGAAACAATATGGAAATATATAATACATCATGTAGAATGATTTGCCTGTGACCTCAACAGCGACCTCAAAACAGAATAACTGTTGCTGATAATCTCTGGAGTAGGACATAACTCACATCATTTAAAGGTGCCATATTGCCCGTTCAAATAACTGATGAATGAATGTGTAAAATCTGTCACATCAATGTCTGTGACAGGAAAGCCTTATCAGGACAGTAAACTTAAGTTCTGATCGTTCTACAGCTACATCAAGTAATCATATTTCAAAGAATGGGTTATCAATTACAGTTCAATATAAAGATAAAACACCAAAAAGAAGTTATGTTACTAAAATATCTCAATTTCATAACATTTGAGGAAAATTGCCGTTACAAATATTTCCCGTTGTAGCCGCTGTGAACACATGTCGCATGCCTGGGATATATTGATTCATCACACGAAGCAACAGATGTGGGGATAAAGCAGTCTTGTATAAATATATTTGCAAAGCAAGATGTTTTGTTTGAAAATACACCACAAATTATATAGATTTGTGCCTATCTGCTGTAGTATTCGATGGTATTTGTTTATGAACCTATCTTTGAAGATTGATTGGACATTTAATGAGTTCTTACAGCAGACAGGCACAAATATATATAATTTGCAAAGCAAGAAGTTTTGTTTGAAAATACACCATGCCATTGCATAAATGACATTTCCAATCAGTCTTCAAACTGTTGGTTAATATATTTTCGCACAAATTCCCCGATTCTCAGGAAACTAATCAAAAACTAGAATTACTTTATACGGTACGAGTGCATTTATAGGAAAACGGAAGACAATCGTCAACAGGGCGTATCATTCTCATGTCAATACTTCCTAATATCGTCTCGTGGAAAAGTTTGAGGTATATTTAAAAAAAAAGGTTATCACTTTTTTCACTTTACCTGAATACAACTATGTATTTTGGAACCCTAATGCACGTGTTCTATCATCGTAATAAAATATATAGGTTATTGTTAAAGCCATTTCGAGTTCTTTTGTGTACATAAGTGTAAATTATTATAGCCGAAATCTTGTTTACTCAACCAAAAATCTGAAACGTCATTGGGACCCTCTGTGTCCTGAAACGTGTCCCGGGGCGTGGGCGCTCATCAAGTCAAGCATATGAAAAAGGAATTCTCCCCCACCTACCTGGTGGAACTATAAGAACACTTTACTATGTGACATATCAACAGTGACAAGGAACATATTCTCACAATTCAACACTAGTTGTATGACTCATGCTTTGGTGCTTTCAATTCTTTTTCTGTAATGACAAGTGAGTTGTTGGGTTTAGAATTTCAATGTTGAATGCCGATACAATCTTCACATGCATGAATTTAAAGAGTGACAAAGACGCTTCAAACTGCCAATTGACCGCATTGAAATAATCTTTATGACTGCACGAGTACAACTTGAATAGTGACAGTCTATTTTCTATTCAAAGGTTCAATACAAGTTTTAATTTGTTAAACGTAGTGAGAGCACGTTGAAACACACTGTCATTTTTGTTGTGCTCCTTGAGGCTTCAGCTGTGCAACTACCGACTGGAAACAACATGGTAAGTATCATTGAGGTACTTAATATACTTATCAATATCATTTACCGTATATTTATCGATTTCAATCTTACAATGAGTAAGAGGACTGTTCTTACATGTTCTCCTCAAGTGGCCAGCTGACGTATTTGAGAGATATTTTGACAGCCTATAACACTGAACAGATGGTGTATATCATTAAAATCGATAGAACATGCAGAATTATCAATACAATATAAACTGCCGTGCAAAGGAAAGTATATGTCTTTGTTTGATGGTGGCTAAAAATGAAACAAACAAGAAATGGTTGCTAGTATTCGATGGTGATGTATTTCATACGTGAATCATAGTTGTGCTTTGAACCTCAAGTTTGTGGTGTTTCGGTGACTGTTTTCAGCCGTTTTGATCAGTTTTGTAATGTTTTTGTCAAATCCAATTTTCATGTGATTATTTTCTTTCGCCCGTCAGTGTTTATTCAGGTATGCAATGTCGGATATTTTCGTGGTGATGTCATATGCTACTTCGTAGTTATGGGATATTGACTGACCATAGTTCATGTGTATCGATAACATACTCGATGAATATTCATATTCGTTTTCAGCAGTCAGCAGACCAACTTACAGAGGAACAGATAGCAGGTAAAGGGTTATTAGTATGAGTGAGTGAGTGAGTTTGAACAGTATGCTAGTTATATCACGGCGTACCAGCTTGATGTGAGAAGGAAAACCCGAAATGATAAAGGCGTAACCATTTTGGTGAAAGGGACTCATATGAGCTTGGTCTGACAAATTCAGAACTGTAAAGGTCAAATTTGGGTTTCGAACCCTTGATCATTTAGGAAACCTGATTACCCAATTCTACACAGCAAAGTGCGGCGCCCCAGACGACTTGACAGTCATTTAAATTAAATGTATTATGAGAACATTTTATGTAATGAGATCATGACAGCTTCAAATGATTCATAATTGTTTAAAGAAATAACTAAATGGACCTTATCTCTCTTAAAAGGGAACCTGTGGTTTATTTTGAAATTTGGACTCAAATCAGCATTGTGATGCATAAAACATTTCGTGCATGGCTTAAACTGACTGTTTCATTATTCATACTTATATATTGTTTAATATATTGTATATTTGATTGTATATTGATGTGATTTAGTTAAAATCGTTGATAATATGCAATGCATTTTTACATACGATTTTGTTCTCGTGAAATTCGTTTTAGAAGTTGGTTCTATATGAATTTAATTTTAAATAAACCTCAGAAATGTTAAAACTGTTCATGCATGTCTCCATATATCTTTTGGTCAAATGGCAGAATTCAAAGAGGCCTTCAGTCTTTTCGACAAGGATGGCGACGGAAGTATTACAACCTCGGAGCTTGGAACCGTAATGAGGTCACTCGGACAGAACCCCACTGAAGCAGAGTTACAAGATATGATCGCCGAAGTGGATGCTGACTGTAAGTAGATGACAGGACATCTACATCACACACAAACATTATCCCTTTTAATGTATATGGGGAGGAGGGGTAGCGTAGTGGTTCGCTCGTCATGCCGAAGGCGCGGGTTCGATTCCCACATGGGTACAATGTGTGAAGCCCATTTCTTGCTGAAATATTGCTAAAAGCTGCGTTAAACCAAACTCACGCACCTTTTAATATAATCGTCGGTAACTGAATGTCTTGTTAATTTTTGTAGGTTCAAGGTATTTCGCAGAGAATTTGGCGTGTCGAGATACAAAGAGTGACATTAATACATACATATACATGAAGACCGTCAATCTTTGGCACTATGGTACAAATGAAATGAGACAAACTCATTTCTATGTCTGCTAAAAGGATGGTCCATTGTACGATACCGGCTATGTCAGGAGCATGTGTGTATGTATCACTATCAAATAGGTCTGATGCCAGGTGTACCAAAGAAATGTTATGACAGAGACCATAGTCGATAAACGGCGGTGGTTATAAATAGGGAACAATATTAATTAAAGCTTGCATATTGTAATCTTCCATAGTGTATCAGCAAACAATATAACTTGTTCTGAAAACAAGATTCATATCTTAATCATCATACTTTAGGCAATGGAACAATTGACTTTCCTGAATTCCTTGCCATGATGTCCAAGAAGATGAATGAAAGTGATGGGGACCAGGAAATTAGAGAGGCATTCCGAGTGTTCGACAAGGACGGCAACGGTTTCATCAGTGCAGCTGAGTTGAGGCATGTCATGACAAACTTGGGCGAGAAGTTGACAGATGAGGAAGTAGATGAAATGATTAGGGAGGCAGATGTTGATGGTGATGGACAAGTAAACTATGAAGGTAATTTTACCATAGCTGCCCTTAAAATATAAAAAAACCAATGTCTGTTAAAGCATAACAGTATGGAATTGTATTATGGTATATGCTTGGTATTATATTAGGTATTATATACTACAAAACAAGATAAAGAACAACAACTGAAGCTGGTATGTTGCAATAACCTCCAGCCATGACAGATTAACTGTAATCCTATGAAAAAATCCGGTATTCTTTTACTTATTTTGAGTAGTATAGTTATTATGTGCTGGTATTGAGCGTTCCTGTTTATAGCAAAGAACTGATAATTTCGGTATGCATAATTTAAAATCATGAAAAAATGTTATTTCGATTGATTTCTACACAACTGTGTACTCTGTATGTAATATATTTCAGAATTTGTCAAGATGATGATGACGAGGTGAATCAGTGATGTTCCTACATGCAAAGGAACATCTCGGCGGGACACACTGGGATGACTTTTTGTTGCTGTTGCTGATATTTAAGATTCCATTTGTTGCTGTTGTCGGTGTGCTAGATTTAATTTGTTACTGTTGTAAATGATTCAGATTCAGTGTTTATTCGCGTGCAACCAAGAAGATGCGACTTTCAGCTTGGGAGAAATTATATATACAAAATATATTGCATATTGCATATATACAAAAGTCGAGCAAAATAAACATTAACTATCAGGGAAAAATCATTACCTAACAAACTACTCTATATGTAAATTGCAAAGCCGTCGTAACATATAGTCGCGCCAATAGCTTGTCCATATTTAAAATAGCGTGCTGTGTTTGATAGTGTTTTTCAGATTAAATCCTGTATGTAAATGGATGACTTTGTTGATTACTTAAACTGTTTAAACCAACAGATGTAGAGCATGTTTAACGTGAGGTACGTATAAATCGCATTGCCGTATTGAAACTATAACCGTAACAGTAGGATCAAGAATAGTGAGTGAGTATGGTTTTACGCCGCTTTTACCAGCACATATCACGGCTTGGGACACCAGAGTGAGTGAGTGAGTGAGTTGGGTTTAACGCCGCTTTTAACAGTATTCCAGTTATATCGCGGCGTGTCAGTTAAATGTGGGAGGAAAGTCCGAAGTGATGCAGGTCCCAGACGTTTACCACTTCGGTGAAACCCACGAGCACGGGTATGGTGCTGACAAATCTAGAAACATAATCGGGGCGAACCGTGATTCGAACCCACAATCATAGGTTTCTGGCGTGCCCAAGGGTCGCAACTCTGCACAGCGAATCGCGGCGCCTTTGACGACTGGGCCATCCGTGGGACACCAGAAATGGGCTTCACACATTGTACACCAATGATAACCGAACCGGGTCTTCGGCGTCTGAACTCTTTAGCCACAAGGCTACCCACCGCCCCAGTGAACGGAAAAGTAAACCTGAAAAGGAACTGAAATAATGGAGAATGATTAGGACATATCTTTAGTACCGTATTTCCCCTTTTAATTATTCTTTCAGTCATTACTATCCAATATGTAAATAATATTGGACCCAGCATTACTATAACCAGGTGAGCAAGATAATTCCAAAATCAGTATTTAGAATCTAGTATTGAGGAAGACAGGACTGAAATAATGATTTTAACGTTGTGTATGCCACCAGCCACCACTGACAGGCTTCGTTACAGATACGGATACCTTTATCAAGAAAGTGACACCCTCGATCAATCGATATTTGAATTACGACTATGACCTTCACAAATAACGGATACCTCCGGCATCATCAAATATGCGAAACTTTTGCGCAAAAATGACTATACTCCGTACATGTAAGTTATCCGTATCGTATGTGTTGGGACTTCTAGTGCATAGGGGTCTCGGTTGGCCCAGTCGTCTGAGGCGCAGCGATTCGCTGTGCAGAGTTGCGCCCCTTGGGCACGCCAGAAACTAATGATTGTGGGTTCGAATCCCGGTTCGCCCCGATTATGTTTCTAGGTTTGTCAGCACCATGCCCGTGCTCGTGGGTTTCACCGAAGTGGTAAACGTCTGAGACCTGCATCACTTCGGGCTTTCCTCACACATTACGCTGTCAAGCCGCGATATAACTGGAATACTGTTAAAAGCGGCGTTAAACCCAACTCACTCACTCACTCACTCACTCTAGTTCATAAGACCTTCTGTTTAATAGTTATGAAAAAACAAGTACTTTCATTATAACCTAGGTGTAGTTTACTAAAGTACTTCATTACTCTGCATTGAACATTATCTCCGTGACAAGTACATGTATTACCCTTACTTTTTCCTGAAATTATCAAAAAAAAATTATCAAATTTGAAACAAGTAATCCTAGAATAAGAATCCCGTTCACTAGACACAGACACGGATCAGTCCCTTACATTCAATTTCAGAACAACAAACAACAGGTTGTGATCATAGTACTTCATCATTGGGGAATAACTGACAAAATCCTACACTTTAGTTTGAGAAAAAAGTGGAACGGGTTTGTATTCATTTAATTTAAGAACTCAAAGAAATATTATCCCTTTTATTGTATCCCACAATGAATGAAGTCAAACAGATCAATGTCTCTGTTCAGTGTTGTTGGCAACTTCAACACAAATAGGCTGTTTATCTAAGCGAGGGGCGCTCCAGTTGCCAACAGCATACGCGTCCATTGTAACACGAACTAAGAAGAGAATGGCTTTACGAACAGCTTTTCTCGATTCCTCAATGCACACTTCCCCTTTAACACTTGGTTGAATATCAAGGTACCTGTAGTTGTCGGTGTATTTGAACATAATCGCTCAGGTCAGTCCGAGGGGAAGGTAAAGCAGCGGGAAGATCAAGGTTTCTTTATTTGAAATGGTACGTATCTGGTTAAAATACTATTATAAAATTATAATGAAGTATTTTTTTTCAAATGTTGTCATTTCACTTTTCAATTATGCAACAGTGAACTAACATTCACGTGGACATGTTGGGACATTTTTAATGAAATGATTTATTCAGTTGTGACTATAAACGCGAATATAAAGTTCACATGAAGTGATTGCACAGTACAGTCCAGAAATTCCATTATGGTGTACTTTCAATAAGTATGAATTTCGCTTCGGTTATTTTAGGAGGTTGCTATCACTTTAGTTGTCTGAGTCAATTCTGTATACATATCAATTGTACAGTATATTCCATGATTAGCAGAATAGTTTCTAGATGAGGAGGTATCAGTGTTTTACTCAGTGTTGTTGATTACTTACGTGTATATTTGTTTGCAATTCAGGCTGAGCAACAAACACAGTTAACAGAGGAACAATGTGCAGGTAGGTTGTCAAGGCCTCCCTCTTCACGGAATAGAAATCCCTGAAATAGACATGAGTCGGTTTGCAGTCAGAGACATTCAAAACCTGCACTGTGAAAAGGCAATGCTCAACAGACTTTGTCTTTCAATGCACCGATTTGCCTTTCTTATTTTGTGTTAAAATGATTGCAGAATTCAAAGAGGCATTTAGTCTTTTCGACAAAGACGGCGATGGCACCATCACAACCAAGGAGTTGGGAACCGTCATGAGGTCACTAGGTCAGAACCCAACAGAGGCAGAGTTGCAAGACATGATCAACGAAGTAGATGCTGATGGTGAGTCTGTTCATCTTGATAGCGCTTGTTGTACAGCAAAAAGGAATTTGAATTTATAATGCATATGAATATTAACATTGTATCACGCACTAAGGCATGATCAATACTCTGGTTAACAAATTTCTCGGCCCACTGTAGAGGATATAACCCAAGTCATCTGTTTGCCACCAGAAAGATTGTATTCCCGTGATCATTATTGGTTGTAGCAAAAGTGATGATAGCTTTAATAAGTCAACAACAACAACTACAACAACAATAATGATAATAATAATAATATAGTATCTTAAGCGACAGATGGTGTAGCTGGTTCATTTTATTACCGTCTTCGCCATGCTTGTGGTTTTGACACAGAGGTCCATCCATGTTTCGACCCAGAATATGTAGAGGGCGTCATGAAAAATGATAAATACAGAAAATCTTTGGAATAGACTCGTATACAGCTTCAGACGTATCCAGGCCAACAAACCTAACATTGTCCTTTTTAAAAATCCAATGAAATCATAAATGTTATTGAATTTTCTGTCCATTTTGACACAAATGTGATTGACAAGATTCAGGAAAAACCTGGCTTCCGAAATGCCACGCTTTCATCCCAAGTACCAAGTTACCCGACTCCCCATTGTTCTTGGTGCAATTGGTTTGCTACCTCCCAATCTATTGACTGACATTAGGAGAGTACCCGGGTTTGCTACCAGGAATACAGCCTTCTGACAATCTGGGTAATGCAGAAGCCTGCAGTGTTGGGAAGTCTTCACATTCTCTGAAAAGCTATGGCTGGCATGGGTTTGACTAGTCAGCGCTTCCTGGGAGAAGTCCCATTCGCTGTCTGTGCTGCGTGTAGAGGGAGCAAGGACCCTGAGCTGATGATGAGTCTAACCAGCCTGACTGTGCCAGGATCACCCAAACCCTCTTTGCTGGATTTATTTGAATCTGTAAATAATAAAGTCATGTGACAGGATTAAGATGAAAATAATTTCCTGTGTATGAATATAGAACTGTGAATGGTCTGACTGTTTGTTTTCTTTGCTTTGTTCCTAGGCAACGGTACCATAGATTTCCCAGAGTTCCTCACCATGATGTCCAGGAAGATGGGCAACAACGACTCAGACGAGGAACTGAGGGAAGCGTTCCGGGTGTTCGACAAGGACGGCAACGGTTTCATCAGTGCAGCTGAGTTGAGGCATGTCATGACAAACCTGGGCGAGAAGTTGACAGATGAGGAAGTAGATGAAATGATCAAGGAGGCAGATATTGATGGTGACGGACAAGTAAACTATGAAGGTACGTTGATGCCAACACCCGCATGTTTCTACATTTAGGAACAGACTATAAGTAGAAGCGACACAAAATTTCATCATCATAAGAAATCTCTACTAGAAGCAGACTCCATTGTACCACTCCGAATATATCATGTGTTTATGAATCACTATGAAATAGTGAGGTAACAGTTTGTTAAAATTTTGAAAATACAGCAACTGTTGCTGTTGACATCCCATGAATATTGTGTAAAGCATTAAATAATAATAACACGCACAGTGTGACGGCGACGGTGACGGTGACGGTGACGGTGACGAAATGATTCCCTGGAATATCGTGTGTAATATAATATTAACTTTATGAACATTCTCAATTTCAGAATTCGTTAAGATGATGTCCGCTGGCAAGTGATGTGCCCTTAAGTACCTATACAATGATGATATCAGGGATGACATTCTGTTAACTGAGCAACGCAGTAATGTCATGGTGAACCTGAGCAGATGCACATAGATCATGAACATTGTGACACAAATGGTGCCTTGTGTGAAGACCTGGGATCTACCTCACCAGATTGCTTACCCAGTATTAACTAATGTACTCATGATGGAATAAAACGATTTTTTGTATGTCCCTGGTTTATTATTGATTCTACCATTCACGTGCTTCGTATAAGGACTATTACGAGTAATACAGTACTCCAAGTCCACTACGGGGGTGTTCATTCTTGAATGACCAGCAGTTTTACAGAACGGTGCAATATGTACATGATCCAAAGCTGTAACAACTCGGATATTAAATGTTCTGTTTCCTTGACCTTCGGAGACAGTTTCGGGGACCAACTCTAACGTGACCTTCACCTTCAATTACGACGTTTACTGTCGTTTGGAGTGGACAGGCTCACCTCTTTCGAAAACTCATTTTGTCATCACTGTATCAAATAGCCAATTTCACTTCCATATTGTTTCAACGTATCATACATATAAATTTATAAATAAACACAAGGTATTATCACGTTTACGCCAGATCGCATTACGTTTACACCAATTGTGTCACTACTATGAAGGTTGGGTAGCTTAGTGGTTAGTTCGATCGTCAAGCCGAAGCCCCGAGTTCAGTTCCCTGAATTCCCGCTGTGACATTGCTGGAATATTGCTGAAAGAGGCATAAAACCATATTCACATTCTCATTGATTTAAGGACATCATTCAAGTAGACCGAGTGTGTTATTCCTGTAAACATTAGGTGTCGAAGTTTTGAATTTGTTGTTCAGTTGTGTCTGACTATGCTGCAACCACCATAAGACTGAAATACAGGTGCTAGGTAGCATGTCCACGTATACGTGCATCAACAGGCGAGACTGGTGAATATGCTCATTTGACATGATCGTCATATTAAACAGTGAAACATGGGTAATGTCTTCAGAAACCCATAACATAATCACAAAGAGTACACATTTTATTCATTGGAATAAAGCCACAAATCCCTTTCCATATCTTGTACAATTCCGACAATATCATGAGCATGTGTGAGCGTATCCTGAGCGTATTCTGCGCCACCGGTGGCACCCGTCACAAACACATGCAAAGGCAAGTCAATTGTTCACCTAAAAAAAGCATTGGAACATATGGTACAAGTCAAAATAGGAACTTGAATCGGACATCATTTTTGTCGATGGTGCGTCAAATTAGGAAATGTCCTCCACATGTCTACCATAAAACATTTTGAAAGCTTTACTGAGGCCTTGATTCATTGGAATCCACACCAAGATAACTACAGTAAAATACGTTTATAACGAACACGCTTATACCGAACTGACCGATATAACGAAGTTATTTTTTAGTCCCGGCCATTTGTTGTATATATGCTGTGTATATGCTTATAACGAACTACGGTTATTACGAATTAAATTAGTGGTCCCTTTGTGTTCGTTATAACCGTAGTTTGCTGTATGTTGAAAACTTAACTATTTGTGTATGACTCCACTGCTACTCAATAATGCATTACGACAGCTAATCAGGAATTCTCCTATGGACTCATGTTCCTCTCTTATCACAATTCTCAACTTAAGAGTATTTCACATATTGTTGTCTCAGTAAACTTCAGATGACATTTGCTTTCAAGTTTTGACAAAGTTCCCAGACCTTTTGAAGACAGATATGTAACTATGTCTACAGCCATCACGTTGAGAAAGAAATGCCTCATAGATCAGGGAATCAAATTCCTGAACTGAACATTGAAGGACACAAAGGAAACGTAATGAGCTACAGGTCATAATATAGAAGTGAGATCTTTAACGTGGAGACCGCCTCCGTGGTCTAGTGGTAGAGCGTCCGTCTGGAAAGTGGAAGGTCCGGGGTTCGATCACCGGCCCCGTCGTACCAAAAGACGTTAAAAGATGGTACTTGTTGTTACCCTGTCTGGCGGTCGGCATTAAGGGGCTGAAACAAGGACTGGTCGGCTCGGAGTCAGTATACTGTGTCTGAGTGGGGTATTCATGTTAAACTGCGGCATGGTATCTCAGTGAGCTAGCACTATAAAACCGGCATCAGTCCGGACTAGTACAAGCAGCCACACCGCGTGCATGCACGTCGCTATATAAGTGCAATGATCTTGGACGCGACTTTAAACCCAAATTTCACTTCATCTCACCTTTAACGTAGACCATGGCGTTACTATCAGAAAGGCAATATGAGTTACCTGTTAAAGGAGCATAGTCTCGGACAAATTGGCATCCCTAGCAACTTAGATTCAAGTCATTCAAAATTCTGCTGACCAACCCCTATTTAAAAAAAATCTAGTGACCTTTATTTCATTGATTTGAGCCACGAGCTAGACTGGAATGACACCACATTGTTGAACACAGTGCCTCATTAATGCTGCCAAATGAAACTATTGGTAAAGTTTTCATTAAACAACACGTTTGTTTATTCAGTAGTGTGTCAATATTACCGAGAGTACAATATAAACATGTACAGCACATACACTTTATATGCAGCAAAGTCTCACAGTCCCATATGTCCACTGCTGCATAGCTACCGCCTGTGTTCGAACTGGTATCCTATGCCAAAGACTATCTTTGTGAAGATGTCAACTGCCTATCAATACGACAAGTGTGTTTATTGAAACCTATAGAAGCCTTTCAATAGTTAAAAGAGTTCATAGAGAGAGGTTTGTACCAGGGCAACAATAAATGAGTCGACACAAATAGACAATCGTCCGTCACTCTCGTGTAGCCTACTGAAAGTGACGATAGATATATGTGAACTGAAGACCTCTGGTCGAACATCATGGTGAGTTTGTTTGTATTTCTTTGATTTATGTACCCCTGGATATTTCGGATAAGACCTGCAACCCAATAATCTGTGCTTGTCGAAAGAAGGCCGCTGAAATCGACCGTGTGGTCAAATTCGGTGACTTGGTTGCAACAAGACGACGCTGGGCGTTCATAATATCGACCACTGAGTTGTATGGCAAAATCGATTATTTTCAAGTCGCCGTGATAGAGGTGTAATAAACAATTACATGTCTTTGAAAGAAAGATCTCGCCAAAGCAATCAGCATTTTGGTAAATTTTGGCTTCTGCATCGCTGTTCCTACCTCACTGTATCCATCGATGAGTGAGTGAGTATGGTTTTGCGCCGCTTTTAGCAATATACCAACAATATCACGGCTTGGGACACCCAAACCTGGCTTCACACATTGTACCCACGTCGAGAATCGAACCCGGGTCTTCGGCGTGACGAGCGAACACTTTAACCACTAGGCTACTCGTAGCTATGTTTGCTTTTTTGGTGATGTGATGCCTCAGAAATTATACAATATATATATATTTCTACATATATATAGTTTGTGTGGAGTAGGCGACATATATGTGTACCAATTGTCATTATTATTGTAAAATAATGTGCTTTGAGATTTAACATTTCAGAAGACATATAATATGAAATAGGCTCACTTTAGACGATGCTTATACTGATACCATGTTTCTAACTATCTTTTAGTAATGCTTTACTTCATTGTGTTAGTGAAAATAGATTTGACATGAGAGTAAATTGCACACAACCTTATGTGTGGGTATAACCATGAACGTGGATAATATGCGCAGGTTGGGGGGTGGCAGTCGTCTAAAGCGCCGCCATTCGCTGTGTAGAGCTGCGTCCCTTGGACACACCAGAAACCTATGATTGTGGGTTCGAATCCCGGTTCGCCCCAATTATGATTCTAGGTTTGTCAGCACCATACCCGTGCTCGTTTCCTCCCACATTAAGCAGAAACGCCGTGATATTACTGGAATACTGTTAAAAGCGGCGTTAAACCCAACTCACTCACTCACACTCACCTCCAATTTGGTTTGTTTCTATTTGTACATTTACTTTACAATATGTTTCAGGCCGAGCATTTAACAGAGGAGCAAATTGCAGGTATTAGTTTACATATTTTATTACACACGTGACATTTATTTAGTAAAGTGACTGATGAGGTCTTCCAGAATCAGACGAGTATAACTTCACAGCATTTTCAATGCAGAACCTACCTCATATTCAGTATGTGTTACAACACACTACGGTACACCCCACACCCCACACCCCACACACAGACACACACACCGGTAAGCAACACACACATACACAACACACAGTTACACAAAAACAAGACACACACATATACACATAAACACACATACACAAACACAACAAACATACACAAACACAACACACATACACAAATACAACACACACACACACACACACACACACACACACACACACACACACACACACACACACACACACACACACACACACACACACACACACACACACACACACACACACACACACACACACACAGAAACACCGGGCCACAACACACACACACAAACACACACACACACACACACACACACACACACACACACACACACACACACACACACACACACACACACACACACACACACACACACACACACAAAATTCCAACTATACTTCAATTATTTCAAGGCGTGTCAGCTTAAGGTTGCAGGAAAACCAAGTTTTTCATGAAACGGGTATGGTGCTGGCAAACTAACAATTATAATCAGGGCCAATCTGGAATTCCAACCAACGATCACAGGATTCTGGACAGCGCAAGGGACGCAACTCTTCGCAGCGGATTGCGACGTCTTAGACGAATGAACCTGTGTTCACTACGACTATAGCATATCGATGTAAATATTTTTTGGTTATGTTCATAATGAAATGACGTCTTTGTGAAACGGGTCACTATAAAACACATGCATATCCCAGAGTTCCAGGAGGCCTTTGGACTGTTTGATAAAGATGGCGATGGTAGCATCACCACAATTGAGCTTGGGATAGTGATGAGGTCACTCGGGCAGAACCCCACGGAGGCAGAGCTACAGGACATGATTAACGAGGTGGACGCTGACGGTGAGTCCACTGTCACAGACGTTGACGTCATTGTACAACGGCACCAACTACATGCCAGCTTATAACGCCATAACTATTAAATGTGTTATAGAATGCTAAGCATCAGTTTAAGAAGAATTCAAGATTATCTTTCTTGTCTTTTTGGCTTTAGGTTAAGGATAGCGTTTGTACTCGGAGTATCTGATATGGACACTATACCTTAAGCAAAGGAAGAAGATATTTTACTCCGATAATAAAAACTTGATTTTTTTTAAAAAGACAGAAAATCAAATTTTTTCCCTAATCAAACGCAAGTGAGTGTACGAAAAGCCATGTTACATATACTTAAGTCAGTCCGTGCCTTTTTTGCACATATGTGAATATGCATAATATGAATGCAGCACTTGAGATTGTTTATATATTCATCGATCACATACAGGTAGTTCTATTGCAATATGATTATACATCCATACATTCACATGGGCGAGTTTAGTCCAAAGGATTTGACATGAAACTCTACATGTATATCAAAAGGGTTTTGTGAGCAGTCGACGCTTCCCCTTAACACTTTGTGTTGGCATTCCTGCAGGTAACGGCAACATCGACTTCCCGGAGTTCCTTACGATGATGCAGAAAAAGTTGAGTTCCAGATCGGACTCGGAGGAGGAGGTGAGGGAGGCGTTCAAGGTGTTCGACAAGGACTGTAACGGATTCATCTCCGCCTCCGACCTCAAACAGGTGATGAACAACCTCGGTGAGAAGCTGACTGATGAAGACATCAATGAAATGATCAAAGAAGCCGACCACGATGGTGATGGGCAGGTTAATTATGAAGGTAGGTTGTGGAACACGGTTATTTCTTTTCAGTTCACAATCACAATCAGGAAAGAGTGTTGAAGCTAAAGAGTGAGTGAGTGAGTGAGTGAGTGAGTGAGTGAGTGAGTTGGGTTTAACGCCGCTTTTAACAGTATTCCAGTTATATCGCGGCGTGTCAGCTTAATGTGGGAGGAAAGCCCGAAGTGATGCAGGTCTCAGACGTTTACCACTTCGGTGAAACCCACGAGCACGGGTATGGTGCTGACAAACCTAGAAACATAATTGGGGCGAACCGGGATTCGAACCTACAATCATAGGTTTCTGGCGTGCCCAAGGGACGCAACTCTGCACAGCGAATCGCGGCGCCTTAGACGACTGGGCCACCCGTGCCCCCTGAAGCTAAAGAGACGTCCTTCGGGTCCTATATACTACTCACCACAATGTAACAGTTAATTTAAGACTCACGTGAAACTGAAGTATTGAAAGAAAAAACAACAACGCAATTTTGATTGTAACGGAATATTTCAGCTTATGAACACCAAATTTAACTTCAAAGTTTGTTTAAATGAGCTGTGCCCGCGTCACTTGCAACAAATCATTCACAGCGAAGATGGTTCTCTTGCATGATGTCTTTTCTTGTACTTGTGAATGTGCCTCAGCGCCAGCGACAATTCTGTTTGCGCTTCGTCAGGAAGGAGTTGAGGGTAAATGTGGTTTCAATACAGTCGACGATTCGGTATAGCCGACTTCGTTATATGTAGTCATCTTGTGACACTTTTCAACTCATATTGCTTTCAGAGTTTGTGATGACAATGCTGATCAAGTAAGAACAAGACTGCATGGAGCGGTGGTGGCACGATGGTATGGATATTCTGAATATGAGGCAACAGAGAGGCGGTATTGGGAAGTGTCCTTGCATGATCCAATCTTGCATGAAGTGAATGACGTTACTGTTACTGACACTAATGGTACACTCATGCTGTGGACGATTACTGCACATCTCCTTGTGTGTTGATGTCTATCGGTGATGATATACTTTGGCACGGTTGTATTTTTCTGTCATCAAATAAAGGAAGTCATGTGAGGTTTTAGTTTTAAACGTATGTTACAATATCAGGAGGGAGTGAATGCACTGCGTTAAGTCGAGTTGATTTGAGTTGAAATCTTTTCAGCTATTTCTCTTTTATCTCGATGTGTCAACTTAATGTGGGAGGAAATCCTAAAGTGATATAGTTCTTTGACGTTTATCTAGAAACAAACCCTGAAAAAATCATAATCTGGAGGGATCTAGGATTCCAATTATTGATCACATAATCCTGGCACGCAAAGGGGACGTAACTCTGAACATCAGGTAAAACATAAAAACTGGGGTCGATTGTTATTTCATTGTTGTGCGACATCGAATTTCATTTTCATGTTTCGACAGCGGTGATTGATTTATTCTGGACCAGACAAACCAGTGATCATAAGAGTGAACATCGACCACGAATCGTGTTTACGAATACTCTGGTTCTGTTATACTTAGGTTGCCGTTGTATTCGACTCTAGGTCTACAAGCAGGGGGGCAGTGGAGGCGTATTCTCCAATGGAAATGAACCAAATAACCAATGCCTGTTTTTTTCTTCTTTAATCAGTTGATGTATACCCATGCTCGTATTCATTGTCACCCCAAGATATAAGCGTTTCACTATAGGGGTGACAATAATTTTGAGCATGGGTATATCTATTAGAGATTATATATACTCTTAAAAATAGTAAGGGATACTCGGAAATACCTTAAAATTTCCAAATTGTAAGAGATATTATTTTCTGGGAATATTGTTATGATAATAATGAAAGAATTGGGAACACATTTCAACCGGTAGTTAAGTATGACAGTAGATGTTATGACCGCGAACGATCTTGACCACTAAGTGTTTAAATAGCGAGACACAGGGACTAAACAGGGGATGGTCCTGTGCAGACTTCCTCGTAAATAGAGCGAAAAAAACCTTTAAATATCCATTAGAAATCTCTGCATAAAGCAGAGTCGATTGTACGATTGAGACCTCACATGATCATGTGTTTTTATATCACTATCAAATAGTGATGATACCAGGTCTTCGCGAAAAGATGAGCGTATCCTGCCCAACCGGTGGCACCATCACAAACACACGCAAAGGCACGTCAATTGTTCACCTGAAACATATGTAACAATTCACTGTAGTTCAAGTCATGATGATGATGGTGATGGCCAGATTAGTCCCCCAGTGCTCGGTGTGGGATGTAATATCGGCACCTATATCATAAACCATCACTTTGTAGGATAAAGATTCGTTTATTTATAGACTGTCGTATAATATACTGCTCAACTTTTGACAGGGATATTCTGAGTCAAGGCAGGGACTGAATGTGACAGATCGCTGGGAGTGGTTGTCATACAAATAGAATTCAATATTGCCTTGACACAGTCTCATATTCATCATCATTACAAATAATAAGTACTTTACAAAACATTCCCTTAACCGGCTGTTTTACGTTTTGTAAGAGTATGAAATATTTTCGTATCCCTATCAAAAGTTGGGTAGTATAGATGCAATGGTGCTAACTGTTGCTCTAGGGATCACCCCTACTGATGTAAGGTTTATTCATGAAAGTTCAGACCGACGGTTATTTACCTACGCATACATGTACGTAATAAGTCACTGCAGATTCTCCTCACACACCATAAAAGGAGTATAACAAGGAACACTGACCATGAAAAAGTAAAATGTCTAGTCGGCAAAATAGATAAAAAAATATATAAGAACAATACTTGACAAAAGGGTGTCAGTTGCACATCGTGCTGTGTGGTTTAAACTTAAATTTAAAAACACACTGAAACCATTATGAGTAATATGGGGACACGAGTGAAGACCATATCAAAACGCGTTCACTCCTGAACGGATATTTACCTGGCTCGTGTTTTATCACGTTACCTGTGTTCAATAAACCAGCCCTTCACTTCCCATTTACCCATAATGCACAGTACACCCTTCTGCCTAAATGCGGGTCACTGTTGTCGCATTGCGGCAGCCACTGCGACAGAACAGGTAGTGAAAATAACCCACAGGTGGGACGGTATGTGTCGCAGTACGGGCCATTGACGCAGGTGGGCCACTGGTTGACGGGGATACCACGCGACAAGGGCGGGGCAGTGGGGAATGAAGTAGACTCACTCGATATGCCCTATGCTTGGTTATTAGCCTTAAGTTGTTATTTGACAGTCGGGGTGGTCTACTTTGGGCATATCGATGATTTGATACATTAGGTTAAGGCCAATCACTTGAAGCTATTTTAACTCAAGTAAACACTGTTTAATCATGACTGTATAGTTATACATCCTGGGTTCTGCATCTCGATTGTTAAATGCCGGGCAAAAGATACACCCATGTTTGATGGCGGCTTAAAATGAAACAAACAAGAAATAGTTTTTCGATGGTGATGTAGTTGATACTGATATCATAGTTGTGTTTTGGGCCTTGAGTTTGCCGTGTTTCGGATACTGTTTTCTGCCATGTAACGCTTTGATAACGTTCGTACTTTTGGGGTCAAGTCCTATTTTAAAGTGTATACTTCCTTTTGCCTGGCAGGTTTTATTCAACAGAGGAATCCTTACAGTTCACCGATGGGTGTTTGATTTGGTTGTAATGATATATGTGTCCAAAACATACCTACGATCTACACCTGCAAATTTACAAATACAATGAAACATCTCCATTTCGGACCCCTTTAATCCGGAAACTACACAATCAGGACGACTGCTGCTCGGAACGTCTTCATAATTACGAAGGGATATTACGCGATGAGGTCATTAATTCGTAAATCCAGATATTTGTTAATCCGAAAAACATCTTTATCAACGGTAGTGTCGGATTCATGAGTAACTGTACTTAAGTATCTATCGTCCTGTAGTTATTGCAATATATATATCAATTAAATACATTGTCAAACTTTTATAACCTTTCAACTTGCAACAATGCCTTCTTTTGACAAGTGACTGCATATCATATACCTTCAGCATAATATCATCTATTTCATCCACATTCAAATCATTGTTTAGATACCCTATTTAAATCTATACCAGTGTGTACGTCAGGTCCAGACTTCATAATTCACCAACCGCCGTCTTATAGGTTAAATAAACATAGCGCGGCGTTAAACAATGCACAAGCTATATCGGTGATGCTGTAAACATCGTTTCGTAGGAGTAAGGACACAAATACTACACTTATATGACACTGCTGTATCCAATAAAAAGGTTTGCAATTAAATACAAATAGTTTACTATTACAGAAATGGTTTTGTTCCCAATTCAATGGTTTATATCGAAGCATATTCAAGTTGAACGTAATGAAACAGTCTACGTCATACTACGAGAGTGGCTGCCTAGTTACAGAGCTTAAACATACATGCATTTATTTAGTGCAATATAATGATTATTTATATGCCATTAGTACATTATAATGCCTGTATAAATAACCCATTTTGTCTCAGGCTGTACGTTACTCATTAACACAATTCATTCCATTGAGGAAAGGCTTGTATAGCGTGTACATATTCCCACAGTTGTCTCGTGTAATGGATTACTGCTTTCACCGGCGCGGGTCAAGGCCAACGCGACCATGGCTTGATCAGGAGCGTTGTTTCTTCAAATGGCTAATGCAGATTTCAATTACGATTGTCCAACTTACCTACACTACGTTAAAAGTAGGGAATTCAGTTGTCATCTACCCTATTTCATTTACCACATTTTATTTAGATTGAACTGTCATTACCTTACAGTAGAATGTATGTGTGACGAGTGAGACTGTTGGGCAGGATACGCTCACCTTTTGGAATCATCACTATAGGATGGCGAATCATAAATAAAAGCGACAAAAATATTTCCATAATTATAAGAAATCCCAGAATCCATTGTATGTGAATCACTATCAAATAGTGATGATACCAGGTGTTCGCAAAAGCGTGGATGGATTCTGCCGGTGGCACCATCACAAACACATGCAAAGGCAAGTAAATTATTATAATGTAGTTGGAATCGTACATTGGACTCGGCTTTAGCAGATATTTCATGTGATTATGGAAATAGTTTTCTCGCTTTTATATCCTAAATATTTATATTGTCCTTATGAATATGGGTTCGAATAACAAAATCTCCTCACACGCCAGATACATGCAACATATACACTTTGGATTGATTTTCGCCAGGTGCTAGAGGATTACAATATATTCCCTTGCAAATGCATATTCGCAACATGTAATGGATTTTCGCGAACACCTGGTGTCATTACTGATTTACAGTGATCCATTCATATGATTTTCACCGCTAATTTGCCTGTGAGGTCCAATGAAATGTTTCGTCGGATATTCGAGACTGGGTATTCTCTGGCGTTGGCATTTTACGTTTCACTGGTGATTCGCCACATGCCAGCTATCTGCAACATATTTCAAAAGAAAGGCATATTCAAGAGAAATTTAATAGATATTCCATTTGGAATGCATATTCGCCACATGCTAGAGGTCTGCAACATATTCATTTTAGACAAATAATCCGACGATTATTTCGTGTCTATTTCAGTAATAATCGTTATAAATCAATACCACTGTTAACCTTATATTTACCCAGTAACATATGATATTTAACGCCTATTGAAGATCCATATTCACAAGGAGTGTTAATTGTTCATATTCAATTCAAAGATTAAATGTCGCTAAACAACACGTTAATTTCTCACGACTGAAGGGTCATTTGATATTCTCGGGTTCCACAGTCCCAAGTCTAAGCCCCACAAACATGAACACAGCCCTTCTATATTGACGAACTGCCAACTTGAGACACTATGATCATTTATTACGAGTAGTTGATACGCCATAATTCTGATATGACACATGTCGGAGACACGATATGATCCATTACATATCAATAATCAAAAATACACTCGTGAGAACCACACATATCCACCGCAATATGAACCTTCACATTTGCACAGAAACTTTACAATACGGGTTAACAGGCAACAATGAAAGAAAGGGTTACACTGAAAGCAAAAAGAAAGCGACTTTCTCATGCTGTGTTTCGGCACTGAACAGGAGCAATTGTGGGGGGGTCGAGAGGTGAATTCTTTCTATTGAATTCCAAGTTGCTGGTAGTATTACAGCGTGCGTTTGGTATTACAATGCTCGACATAAACAGTTTGCATGACCTAGCAGCAATGTTCTGTCGGCCAACCTGCAACTAGACGGTGTTCACAATATTTACATGCTGGCCTGATTGATAACATATATTAAACATGGTAAGTTTATGTCATATCATATTTTCTTTGCGGCATTATTACTTGTATAAGATTACTATGCACTTAATTGCATGAGACTGTACGCAGGGGAAGCCATTCGTGTATACCATTGTACATTATTGACGATAGAACATTTGATTTTAATGTTGGTAGATTTATCATTAATACCGTTGTGTACCATAAAATAGAAGGATGAAGATATTAAATGTTTTGAATTCCATATAGTATTCAGTTGTTATTGTTCTATAATAAGATATTTGATATCACCCCTGATCAAAGGGGAGGTAATTCAGATTAACTCTAATGCTATTCCGGCATAATATAGTAATCAGACACATGATTTTATGAGCTGAGTATGTTTGACTGCGTCAGTTATCGACATTGTCTCTGTGCTTCAATTGCCTTTGAACAAATATCAGCAAGTCTTGTCCGTGCTCAAGTGGCCAGGGTGCAAATATTTGTTAGTTTGCTATGACAAAACCGTCTAAGATTGCCACACAAGGCTGCTTGTTTTAACAACCGCTGTGCAGTTGGTTAGCAAATATGCAGGCACGCAATGATAACTTTTCATTTCTCGGATAACCACTTTTCATTTCTCGGATAACCACTTTTCAATTCTCGGATAACCACTTTTCACTGGAAATTTACATTTCTGTGACAAGGCCAAATAATAATAATTATATTTCTTTCATTTATTCTTTTCAGGTTGAGAATCTTACCGATGAGCAGATTTCAGGTTTGTATATATCCATCGTATGATTAGTATTTGACGAACAACTGAGTCATCAATGAGTTACAGTTATCCATTCAAATAATTTTCACTGCTATTTTGTGTTTTATGCCCAAAGGAATTTGTTTCTTAGGACAATCGAGACTGGTTATTCTCAGTAGTTCAAGTGAGTTTGAACAATTCCTACCAGTACAATGAAACTATTTTACCTCGGTATCTACCTGTGTTATGGGGCGGTCGGGTAGCCTAGGGGTTAAAGCGTTCGCTCGTCACGCCGAAGACTCGGGTTCGATTCCTGACATCGCACAATGTGTGAAGCCCGTTTCTGGTGTCCCCCGCCGTGATATTGCTGGAATATTGCTAAAAGCGGCGTAAAACCAAACTCACTCGCTCTCTCACTACCTGTGTTATTTGAACTCTTATCAACATGTTTAGTAGATGGTTGAGTTATTATTCCAGACGGATGGAAATATATTGCAAAGGATGAGATGGGAAGGTCTACAGTAAACAATACAACATATGTACATTGTTTTGCAGAGTTCAAGCAGTGCTTTGCTTATATGGACAAAGATGGGGACGGTATGATCACCTGTAAGGAGCTGGGAACCGTCATGAGGTCACTAGGTCAGAACCCAACAGAGGCAGAGTTGCAAGACATGATCAACGAAGTAGATGCTGATGGTGAGTGGTTTACACCTACCGTTTAATGCTTCCTTTGTTTGTTTGTTTGTTTGTTGTTTAACGTCGCACTCAGCAGTATTCAAGCTATATGGCGGCGGTCTATAAAATAATCGAATATGGACCAGACAATCATCCAGTGATTGATATCATGAGCATCGATCCACGCAATTGGACGATGACATGCATAAACCTAGTCAACTAGCCTGACTACCCTATCCCGTTAGACAAGCATGGGTTGCTGATGACCAAATCTAACCCGGAATCTTCACGGGAACCTTATTATGTGTGAGTGTCAGATGCTACTGGTAGAGCAGTACATGATTACCCTTTTCGCGAACACCTTGTGTCATCACTTATTTTTATGATTCAATTCATGTAGTTTTCACCACTATTTTGCCTTCTGTGCCCAGTGGAATCCGTTGGCGTTCTTTATTTTTGATGAAATTTTAAAAAAAACATTTTTTTAAAAAGCCGTGTAATTACAATCGGTTAACTGATAGATAAGACGTCAATATAACTGACGGCTGAATTGGAAAAGAGTCAGAGAACATAAACACCCCATCTAAACACATAAAATGAGTGCTCAGGTCCCGTCTTTGATTTCGGCTCTAGGGCACGCTTTATTTCGTTGCTAGGAAACGGAACGATTGATTTTGATGAGTTTCTGACGATGATGTGTCGACGTATAAACACTTATGACGAAGAGAGCGAGTTGAGAGAGGCGTTTGACGTATTTGACCAAGATGGCGACGGCCGGATATCCGTAGAAGAACTGCGTGTGACCCTAAGGGAGCTTGGCAAGGTCATAGAAGACGACGATGTTCAAGCCATGATAACACACGCAGATATTGACGGGGACGGGAAGGTCAATTTTATAGGTAAGACATAATCATTTTAATGATATTTATGTGATAAAGAAAATGAAGGTATACCATTTTTTGTACATTTATTTCATTTCGAAATGTCATTTTAGGAATAAATCAAAGAAAAACACTAGTCGTAGTTTGAGTGAGTGAATATTGTTTTACGCCGCTCTTAGTAATAGTCGGTTGTCACTCATTAAACCCATGTGGGGAATCAAACCTTGGTCTTCGGTGTGACGAGTGAACACTTCGACCACTATGCTATCCCCAATCTACGTGTCTTTTGGTACTGTTATAATATCGTTATATCCAACATTTACTCAGAGCATCCGCCCGGAGAGCGGAAGGTCCGAGGTTCGATCCCGGGCTGCGTCATACTAAAAGACGTTAAAATATGGTACTTGTTGCTACCGTCCCTGGAGCTCGGCATGAAGGGGCTAAAACATGGATTGGTCGGCTCGGAATCGGTATACTGTGTCAGAGTGGGGTATTCATTTTAAAACAGCGACATGATATCTCAGTAGGCTAGCACTATGAAATCGGCATTGGTCCGGACTACTACAAACAGCAACACACACACACACACACACGTGCATGTACGTCGCTTTATAAGTGCAATAATCATGGACTCGACGTTTTTAAATCCCTCACCTCAACCCCTCAAAACAGCATCCTCTGTAAAAAAAATACCCATAAATCCCCTTGTTTGGAATTTTAGAAAATTATGAGTATTTGTATGCAAAAACATATAACAACGTTTTCTTTGTCTTTCAGAGTTCGTAAAAATGATGAAAAACGAATGAACCGGTAAACTCCCAAAGGCATGGGTAGGAATCATGTTGGCTCTCAGTGAAAATGAACCCTATACACAGGAGAAATCGAATCTTACAGAACACCATTTCACGAGGACGTTTTGCTCATGGTGGAGAGCCGTCAACTAGAGCTGCTAGTTTTGCTATGCAACACAGTCTTTGGTGAAATTAGTTCAGGGAAAAAAACTGTATGTAATCAAGATGTGACACTGATCTCCGATAAATCGATAACTGTAATGTTACATACGGAGTACGTGTCCTGGATGCGGAAGCTGAATACTCGCAGAAAATAAACGCGCATGTTTATTGTGTATACTTTTCTCGATAGATATCTTTTAGTTTGTTTAGTTTTTACCCTTGTTTCAATAAACGTTGTTTGATAACATTTTCAAATATTTGGTTGTGTCTTGAAAATACTTATAGACAAATACGGAGATAACGTGTCATTAAATGGTGGCTTGTTAGCATTTGTGGGCTGACGATCGTCTTCATCATACTCATCATCATGTCATGTCAGTTCGTAAAATCCGAAAACCTCCATACAGCGAACCCTCGTTAGTCCGAACTTGAGTACCGAAATGCCTTATGTAAAGGTGATATCACCCCGAATAATTATTTAATCCGTTACTTTAGACTAACTCATTGGGAATTTGCTTGGTATTGCTGGGTGCAGCGTTAGGCAACAAACAAGTACTATCCTTTTTTTGCGATCTGTCAGATACCATGCTTAGCATGGTAGATACCATAGTGGTACCATGCTTACCCTTTTCGCGAATAACTTGTGTCATCGTTGATTTTCAGTTATCCACTCATATAATGTTCATTAGTATTTTGCCTTTTCACGCCAAATGGAATCTGTTTCGGCAAATAATCCCGACTGATTATTATTGAATTTTCCGGATTAACAGGGTTTCACTGTACATGAGATGTGAGATGAGCAATTACTTTCTTGGAGCTGAGTATCCGTCATACTCTATGCACCTGTCATACTCTATGCACCTGTCATACTCTATGCACCTTTCATACCTTATGCACCTGTCATACTCTATGCACCTGTCATACTCTATGCACCTGTCATAGCTTATGCACCTGTCATACTCTATGCACCTGTCATACTCTATGCACCTGTCATACCTTATGCACCTGTCATACTCTATGCGCCTGACATACTCTATGCACCTGTCATACTCTATGTACCTGTCATACCTTATGCACCTGTCATACTCTATGCACCTGTCATACCTTATGCACCTGTCATACCTTATGCACCTGTCATACCTTATGTACCTGTCATACTCTATGCACCTGTCATACTCTATGCACCTGTCATACCTTATGCACCTGTCATACTCTATGCACATGTCATACTCTATGCACCTGTCATACCTTATGCACCTGTCATACCTTATGCACCTGTCATACCTTATGTTTCTGTCATACTCTATGCACCTGTCATACTCTATTCACCTGTCATACCTTATGCACCTGTCATACTCTATGCACCTGTCATACTCTATGCACCTGTCATACTCTATGCACCTGTCATACTCTATGCACCTATCATACCTTATGCACCTGTCATACTCTATGCACCTGTCATACCTTATGCACCTGTCATACTCTATGCACTTGTCATACTCTATGCACCTGTCATACCTTATGCACCCGTCATACTCTATGTACCTGACATACTCTATACGCCTGTCATACTCTATGCACCTGTCATACTCTATGCACCTGTCATACCTTATGCACCTGTCATACTCTATGCACCTGTCATACTCATAGCCTTTGGTTAAAATGGTGTCTGTGCTGATAATTGTCACGGTTTATAGCATGGCGTTGACAGATATGCAAATCTGATAAGTATCCTTTTTTGTACCTCTCATGTGAAAGACACATAGTTTGTACTGTGCATGTACCTTTAGCTGGAAGTGTAACGACTGATCTATACATGCTTCGCGAGTGTCCTTGGCCCGAGGCAATACATCGATGACACGTTGGAATAACACTAGTTCACGCCATGATATCGATATATCGACAGGCATGAGAAATGAAAACATACTGTATAACAATACATTTTACATTCGTGTTTATCAAAAATGCACTTTGTTTGAAATGAAACGTGGAAATGTCAATATTTTTTTTAATAAGGGGTATTTCACTGAAGTCCTTGACTACTTCCGCTGAATCTGTCAGGGATTTATGTGCCTGCAGCAAATGCCAGTCAAATTTTACAAATGGAAATTTTCAAATTTCCAAGTTCCATTTATTTTATTAATCTTAATCTTACGGCTTAATAGAGTGAGTGAGTGAGTAAGTGAGTATGGTTTTTCGCCGCTTTTAGCAATATTCCATCAATATCACGGCGGGGGACCCCAGAAATGGGCTTCACACATTGTACCCATGTCGGGAATCGAACCCGGGTCTTCGGCGTGACACGCGAACGCTTAAGACACTAGGCTAACCGACCGCTCCCGGCTTAACAGAGGCGACTTGTAGTTTACTGATAACAGGGCCAATAAAGAGGATGTGGCATTCTGCTTAGTTGTGTATTATTGCATTAGTGCCATATAAAATATTTCTCGATTTAAGACAATAAGGACTTAAATAATGATTTTCCCAGGGGCCAAGGGCACTTTGTTTGGAATTATAGATATTGTGTTGCCTTCTACTTTATACTATGGCAATACCATTGCAATATCGGTACGTCAATGCTATGTAGATCATTGCCTATGATTTCACTTATTGGTGTGTCTAGCCGAGACTCAATAATTTTCAGGCCTAAGTGTTTGTTTGTTGTTTAATGCCGCAGTCAACAATATTCCAGCTATATGACGGAGGTCTGTTAATAATCGAGTCTGGACCAGGCAATCCAGTGATTGACATCATGAGCATCGATCAACCTAATTGGGATACGATGACATACACCAACCCAGTAAGCGAGCCTGACCACCCGATCCCGTTGGTCGCCTCTTACGACAAGCATAGTCCCCTTTTAAGGCAAGCATGGGTTGCTGAAGACCTATTCTAACCCGGATCTTCACGGGTCTGAGGGCACAGTGATACTGGAAGAATATTGCAGAAGTTTGAGTTGAACAACGTACACTCATTGCCTTCTTCTTCTTCTCCACAGGTAAAAACCAGGTTACTTTCCCGTCCTTCCTGAACGCCATGGCGAAGAGGCCGAAGGTTGTGGACACTGAACAGGACATTGTCCAGATCCTCAGGTCGCTGGACGAGGACCACAACGGCTTCATTAGTTCGGCACAGCTACGTCACTTGATGACAACTGTCGGGGAATGCCTCACTGACGAGGAGGCGGACGAACTCGTACGTCAAGCGGACATTGATGGCTCTGGAATGATTAATTATGAAGGTACGTTGATGCTTCAGGTTGACATTGATAGCTCGGTAATCATAGCTTATGAAAGTCCATTGCTACTTTAGGTGGACATTGGTGGTTCCGAAACGGTAGCTTAAAAAGGTCCTTTAATGGCTCGGTCATGACATGATAGACAATGAAGATATGTTGATATGACAGGCGGACATTAGATCTGGATGGCAGATTATGATGGTACGTTAATACGTTGGACGGACATTGATGGCTCCGGGAAAATAGATGTTTGAAGGTTCGTAGATACGTCACACGGACATTGCTTGGTGTCGTCCAATTTGTTACACAACTTAATTAAAAGCGACAGAACCTTCGGATAGAAACAATGTTCTACGGATAAAATATAGGCGGCAAAACCCTTTCTCATATCATAAGAAGGTTCTGCTGAAAGCAGACTTCGTTGCACGATTCCGATCAAAGGCCTGGGCTCTTTGAATAGTAGTCGACATTAAGGGAAAGTTGATAATTGGAAAGGTTTTTATTCATTGATCTATATGATATATATATGATATATATGAAACAGATGAGGCAGTGTCACTGGTTTCTTATATTTATTTGTTCAGGTGGGTAAATCAATGAAAGGGATATGGTTATTTTTGAATATATCAACAATATATCATATCATCGATACACTGATTACACTTTGATTCTTAAGTTAAACCCCGACATGGGTACAATGTGTGAAGCCCATTTCTGGTGTCCCCCGCCGTGATATTGTTGGAATATTGCTAAAAGCGGCATAAAAACCGTACTCACTCACTCACTTAAGTTAAACTTAAAATTTCCGTGTTGTGTTTTTGCCAATGTGAGCAGAAAACAACAACAGCAAGAAGTTAGTGCCCATTCTACTTCTTGCCTAAATGTCCTGTCCCCAGATTTCCCGTGTATGTTATCTTTGAAGAAGTCCATCATTTCACATATTGTTTTCTCAGTAAACTTCAGATAGGACATACATAAACAGATTAAACAACACATGACTCAGGTGAATGCATTTGTTGTTCCTCTGAATAGAATAATCCTGTAAATCCGGATGGTACCTTTCTCAGTGACATCGTTTTGAATAACAAATTACCGGATTAACGCCATAAAGGCACGTGTCAATGTCCCTACTAAGGTCTTGCCTGATATGTTTACTGGTATGTATGGGTAGTGAGTGAGTGATTGACGACACTTTGAAAATTATTTCATAAATAGCAGTATCAGCTTAAAAGCCTGAGGTGATGAAGGTTGTAAACGTCTAGCACTTTATGAAAGCCACGAGCAAGGGCATGGTGCTGATAAACCAAGAATAATATTCAGGACCAATCTGGGAATCGAACCATCGATCACAGGATTCTAGCACGCATAAGGGACGTAACTCTGCACAGAGGATTGCAGCGCGCTCGAGTACTGAGCCACCCTTACCCCCGTATTTATACGCGGTAAAATGCAGAGGTTTCTTATTCGCAAACACCTAACGTCATCACTTATTTTCATTGATCCATCCATATAATTTTTACCGCAAATTTGCCTTTTACGCCTATTGATGGCATAATTGCGACTGGTTATTTTCTTGCGTTGAAGTTTTATATTCAAGATTATGGAAAGGGTTTTGCTGCTTTTATCAACAATATCTGCATGTATACTACTGGTAGGTAAAATATGGAAACCAACACGTTTATACTTTTTCTTTCAATAGATTTCGTGGCCCGAATGATGACAAAGTGAAGTGGAAACTAATCCTAAAAAAACAGAAACACCCATCCTGGTGACTGGCGTCCTTGCTTAGCCTCATCTCATCTTACCCCGTGCTCCCAGCATCTGTATCAACTGATGAATATGTGTATTTATTGAATCCTAATAAAAGAAATCTCACAACATAACATTGAACACTGCTTTCCTGTATATATTTGTCATACCTTGGATTACGTTAAAAAAGTTGAAGTTATTTAACGCCGCAGTCAGCGAAAAGGACCGAGACTGGGCCAGGTCAAATGTGCTAGTTACACTTGCGGTAATTAGGGCCTATCCTCAGCCTCGAAACGAGGTTCAGGAAAAACTTTTTAAAAAAAAGACATTTAAAAAACACATGATAAACCGTGATACAGTGAGTGAGTGGGGGAGGAAGGGGCGAGTGAGTACGGGAGCGAGTGAGTGAGTGAGGGAGTGAGTGACCGAGGGAGGAAGTGAGGGAGGGAGAGGAGTGAGTGTGTGAGGGAGGGAGGGAGGGAGAGAGGGAGAGAAGGAGTGAGTGAGGGAGTATACGTACATATAATTTCCACTAAAATCACTCCTTGTCAACATTACTTGGGACAAAAATGTGCAGCCAGTCGACCTTCATATCGACGACACAGAATTTGAATGGACATACATGCATCAGTTAGCTGATTTTCTAACTGGTGAATGGATACGGGTAAAGAAGTCTTAGTATGGATTATATTAATGAATGAGTAGGTGAGTAAGTTTTGGTTTAACGCCACTTTAAACAATAATTGAGTTATGAAACATCAGCTTGATGTTGGAGAAGAGACGGCAGTGCTGAAATCTCAGGCGTTTACCACTTTGGAGAAATATCAAACGTCAACGCCAGACAGTAACCAGTCTCGAGTATCTGACGAAACAGATTCAATTGTGCGTAAAGGCAAAAGTATGTGTATGCTGCCTGTCACCGCACAGCAATGCGACGGCGGCATGTCATCAAATGATGGACCAGAGTGAGTGAGTTGGGTTTAACGCCGCTTTTAACAGTACTCCAGTATTCGCGGCGTGTCAGCTTGATGTGAGAGGAAAGCCCGAAGTGATGCAGGCCTCAGACGTTTACCACTTCGGTGAAACCCACGAGCACGGGTATGGTGCTGACAAACCTAGAAACATAATCGGTGCGAACCGGGATTCGAACCCACAATCATAGGTTTCTGACGTGCCCAAGGGACGCAACTGATGGACAAGAAATACAGTCACACGATACTGACTTTTGAGTTTGAAAACGATATATTAATTTTGAATAACGCCTTCTGTGTACAAGTACAGAGATTCTGCAGCATATAAGTAAAGCAAATTTGTTTTTTAATTTGTTCGGTTTACAACACAGTGGGTGGCGGTTTTAATGTGTGTGTCCAAACATTTTTTTTGTAGCTGACTCAGCATGATTTATTGGTGCTCCTGAGCTTATGGCGAAGCTCTTGGAGTTCAGCGGACCAGCAGAAACATCGATCCAGTTCAAGTAAAAATATAACGTCAAAGCCTGTGAAGAACAAGTCTCGATTATCAGACGAAACAGATTCCATGGGGTTAAAAATAGCGGTGAAAATTTTATGTATGGATAATTGGAAATCCGGGTGTTCGCGAAAAGGGGCACGGAAACGAAGCTTGAGGCTGACAAACTGACAAACTAATCAGGTCGAATTTGTAATTCGACACAAGGATCACAGGGTTCTATCACCCAGTTTCCAAATTTATAGATAACAAATACAAAGGGCATGGGTGCTCATGTGAGGTAAGGTGCCACAATTGGCAGTGTCAGGATTTGCTTATTGGGGGTTCGGACCGCCTCCGTGGTCAAGTGGTAAAGCGTTCGTCCTGAGAGCGGAAGGTCCGGGGTTCGATCCCCGTCCGCGTCATACTAAAAGATGTAAGAAGATGGTACTTGTTGTCACCTGCCTGGCGCTCGGAATTAAGGGGCTATATAAGTGCAATAATCTTGGACACGACGTTAAACCCATGTTATTGTGGGTTCGTACCTCAGATTCGTTCTGGTTAGGATAATTTGGTATGTCAGCATATATACTGAATTGTTTGATAGGCATTACTTAGAAGTTGAACGGATGACAACGTAGGCACAATTTATGGATAACAATTTCTTCAATACTGTAAATAAGTTTTTTGACGTTGTCCCAGTTAATGTTGTGACCATATCAGCAACTGTCCTAATCACAACATCAACTGTGACAACATCAAAATCCTCTCCAACAACCTCCATGATTTCACTAAAAGAAAACTAACAGAAGCAGTCCACATTCGCCACCAAAAGCCATCAATCAACAGAGATCATGGCTGTTTCATCCTATCTGCCTACTATGTACTCATCAAGCAATGATAACTTGTCCTGTTTAATTGGCTTCATGTCCCATTGGCTTCCACCTATGTGTTCTGTCCATCTTGTTGTGACAGTATTATCCTCCTGTTGTCAACACTTACTCATGTTATCCCACTCATGTATGCAATTGTTGTTACTGTTAATCCTCTACTGTTAATCCTCCACCTACTATATATTTTCCGTACAATGTCCCTCATTCAGTCTTGCTTGACAACAGTATAAGGATGTATACCGAAACGTCGCTTATTACACCATTAAAGAAGTTGTTATCCATAAATTGTGTTTACTTTAGCATATATTATATAAACACGAATAATTGAACAAAGTGGTAATCATTACGACATCTGTTTACTTGGTGTTTCATCAATGAACCTCAGTTGATATTGCAGAAATACTCACGTCTTTCACAGGAGCATGGAAGGTCACGATATATGAAACCATTGTTCATAAGAACTTCTTCATTATATGTAACGACGCTTCGGGGCTGCTTCTTGCCCCGTCATCAAATAATAATGAATTTGTTATCTATAAAAAAAATATTTCTTGACTGAAATAACATTAAGAGAGGCGTTAAAAACCAACCCCTCACTCTCTCAGGACATGCAAGGAGTTAGTCCTTCCACCATCAAAAAAAAATTTAAAAAATGAAAACTATATACAATTTTAGATTTATTTAAAATTTATCGGAATGTGTGCATTCAAAGATTATAGATAAATGAAACTTACCAGAATTATTCATATTTTCGTAACGAGTCCGGTAATAGTCTTATAGTAGTAGTTGCAAAAGGGCGCTTATCTCTGTCCAATAGGTATTATTTACAATGGTTATACGACATTATCCGCAAGGTCATCGGCTAGGACAATCTGATATTATGTATGCAGGTATATGGACGGGACTACAACAACATGCTGATCCAGTAAGCCAGAAGACTGGAAGCCTGTTCCTGATGCCAGGTTAGTCGGCATATGTGATATTTACCTGATTTAATGTGATAAAGATGCAGGATGTTGTAGATCTACATTTCCCTAAGGAAGGCGGATATTGATCTCATCTCTAGGTATATTTCTCTCACGATGACCTGTGGTAGTGTCTTGGGTGGTATGACAATATGTTTCTTCTTTCTCGATGACCTGTGGTAGTACCTAAGATGACATGGCAGAATTTATCGCCTGACTGGACCTGAAGGAACATCTGATTGTATAATTGAATGTATCTTCACCCTAGACCAGAGTATTGTCTGATGGTATGACATTATACAGTGTGTATCTAGACCTGTAGTATTGTCTTGGATTGTACAGCCGTTTGGCTCTTCTTTTGAGATGGCCCGTAGTAGTAGTGTCTTGGATGACATGACAGTATTTCTCGTCTCTCTGGGCCTGTAGTATTTTCTAATGGTATGACAGTATATATCTCCCCTTCAGACGTGTAATAATTCCTTGATGGTATGACAGTATATATCTCCTCTTTAGACTTATAATAATCCCTTGATGGTATGACAGTATATATCTCCTCTTCAGACGTGTATTAATTCCTTGATGGTATGACAGTTTATATCACCTCATTAGACTTGTAATAATTCCTTGATGGTATGACAGTATATATTTTCGATCTAGAGCTGTAGTACAGTATGATGGTATGACAGTATATATCTTATTTTTAGACTGGTATTTTTACCTTGATGGTATGACAGTATATACCTTCTCTCTAGAGTTGTAGCACTCTCTTGGATGACATGACAGTATGTATCTTCTCTCTAAAGTTGTATTATTGACTTGATGAAATAACAGTATACGCCTCCTCTCTAGAACTGTCGTATTACTACGTACTTGAAATGACAGTATACATCTTGTCTCTGGAACTGTAGTATTGTTTTGGATGGTATGACATTGAAATTTTGAAGAAAGAATTCTGCTTCCCATCACTGTTGACATATACAATATTAATGTAACGCGGGCTATAAATCAATAAGTAATCGATATGTCAACAAGGATAATGAAGGTATGACAATGAACAGGTATTTTATCTCTGTATGTATCTCAGCGTGATGGTTTCTTTTTCATCACGAATGGTATCCGTTCAATAACAACAAACAGCCCGACAACGCCCGGACATCTTCCAGACGAAAATCAAACGAGAATCGTTCAGTCGTCAGAAAGTCACCGCAGACAACCATTGTCTTGATCCAGAGACCATCTCGAGATAATTACCACAAGGCTTGACATTTAGTGTAACGGTTCCAGTCTGTGAAGCGATCTACCATAACTCCCTGTTATTGTTCTTAGTACTACAAGCGGAGAAGTACATACTGGGCCGTGGACACTTAATGCATTCTGGCGCACACAGGGCCTGGTTATAAATGAGTGTGGGGTTTATTCATCACAACAAAGGACAACTCGCACTCAACGTTTTCTCAAGCTACCTCTTGTATAGCGGGTAGACATTCTGCCAAAGCAGTGGCCTCAGATTCAAGGAATTCCCGTGCAGTATTCAAGGTAGACAATCGAATCAGCTAAGCCTTCGAAGTTGCGACGCAGAACCATACCTCGCTCTGATTGTTTACTTGCTCACATCAACAAAATGGTAAGACAATGTGTTTATCTATTTACGTAAACATCTTATCATAAAGATAGGGAATCAAAGCCCGATTTGTTTATATTACAGTTGTATTTGTAATTGTACATTGTATTTATTGACTTGTGGCTCTATATTTTGAACTCACCAATGTTTGTCTTACGTCATCGTGAAGGACATGTTGTTTCCATTTCAAATGGTCACGGGACTCCAATTATCACTACAGTTGGGTCATGTAAAGATAATCTACTTACCTGTACATGCTGAGTACAAATAATACACAGTCTACTGAGTTGCATGTACGGTTCATTAATACCAAACAGTCTGTTTAGTCAGGCGTCATCTTGACTGCCAATCACATCGAGGTATATTGTTTAATATAATATGATCTCTTAGCGTTGCCAATCTTTATTGCAGTCGATCCTGGATGAATTGACGCAAGAACAAATAGAAGGTAAGGTTAAGACCCTTGCACAAACGTGCAACAAAGGTAATCCTGATTACAGTATGTTATCCAGATTAAACAACATGAGATTTATATAAACTGATCCTCTGTCCTACTATTTTTCTATCAAGTGGATATACAATAAATAATCACTGGCAAATCTCATTACTCAAACGTATTAATAAAAACATAAAAATATCTTGTCACAGAAATGTTTTTAATGTTTCAGACTGTTGAAAAGAAATTCTCTGGCACAAAAAATACATTGTTACAAGGTGTTTTTAATTATTTTCTATCGAAATTCCGTTTCAGTTAAACATATCTGGTTTTGTAGTATAACTGAAAAATACAAAATCCCAGCAACTTTAACCATCATAAAAAACCTGCTTTATTACAATGTTTGATTCATTAAACTCATACATTTTTTATCATTTTTTTATCAAGCAAAAGAAAGTTTACACTTCAAAATTGGATTTAGCCAAAACGTTATCAAAACGTTTCTAGGCTGAAAACAGTCCCGTAACTTAAGATCCAAAACACACCTATGATACCCGTATTAAAAAACATTGTTATCGAATAACCATTTCTTATTTGTTTCATTTTAAGCCTCCATCAGCTATGGATGTATGCTTTCCTTTACCCAGCAGTTTGCATGAACGTATTCTGCCAGTTTTAATTGCAAACTATTACCACATATGATAAAGTTCGTGGTCTGTTTCATCTACGGCCATAGACATCCAGTATTTGCTTTTTAGGTAATTCGTGATGGATTTGAAGCTATGCTTTCCTCTAATTAACAAGTGATTCTCAGCTTGACTCGGGAGAGATCAATTTGAGTGGCAACAGCCATTCATCGTGAGTCAATACTATACATATTAATTAAAATTTTAAGAATAAGACAAGGACTGTTTTGATGTCGGGTCTGCTTTATGCAACAGTACTATTTTTGCATGCGCTTCGGTTTGATGAATCATCGTAGACACGACTATCGTCATTTGTCACTGTCAGTAATGCATTGTACACTGCTGGAAGCAATTCTCATATGACAGTTCCAATATTTCCAGGGCCATTGCATGACAAGTCGTTAATTTATCAATGTATGTCATCATTGATTTCAAACAATCGTGATATCCTGTTCCGATCAGGTTTCGAAAAGGGCATACCCTGAATCAATAAATAAGTTTACTATCATATTGGTTATTGATTCCTACGAAAGGATGCGGATGAGGCCTGTTGTTCAAAGCCTCTGATCCCTTCCGTTATGTTTGTCATAGTAATATTGTAATCTGTCCATACACAAATATTGCTCAGGCACACTTTATCACCATGTTACGTATAAGTAATTAAATGAACTGGAAATAAACAAAGGGTTTTTATGTTCAAAATCAATAAGCACGTTGTTTTAGAATATTATCATATAGCAACGAGAACAATGTGTGTTGTGCTTATGCTGCACAGTTTCGCAAACAATGCTAATTAAAAATCCTCAAACGTCATAAGGGGAAATATCCCAGCTCCGGTTTCGTCGATGACATATGTGAAGTGAACCCATTTAATCCCTTCTAAGCATTTCAATTAGATGCATTTATGTGAAACTAATAGATATAACGAAAATGAGTGATGGTTTTTAACACATTATGCACTTACACATGTGGACATATAAACGTCAACACCAGAGAATACAAAAACACAGATTATCAAACGAGACGGATTCCATTGGGCGTAAAAGGCAAAATAGAGGTGAAAATGATATGAATGGATCACTGAAAATCAGTGATGACACCAGGTGCTAGTGAAAAGGTGAACGGCGAATGCATAACGGGAATTTGTGTTGTCTAGTGAGTAGGCTTTTATACGGCTTTTGACAATATTCCAAGAACATCAATAACAAGGGGCTTGACACATGGAGGGTGTGGACAGGTTAGAGAGCTGATATGCTGATCATATTCTTGTTTTGCAGACTACAGCCGCGCGTTTCGTCTTTTCGACAAAGATGGCGACGGTACCATTGACGCCAAGGAACTGGGCACCGTGATGAGATCCCTTGGCCAGAACCCGAATGATGATGAGCTCCAGGAGATCCTGGAGGAGGTTGATGCCGACGGTGGGTGTCATTGGAGTTTGCTGGGAAAACATCTCTTGCAATCCATCGCTGTCGGGTAGAATAAGTCCACAAGAATTTTAAAAGTGAAACAAAGCGAATCGGGAGGTGGCTGTCATAGCAGTATGATGAGAAATATCTCTTGAAATAAATCCCTGTGTGGTTAAAATACACGCCCAGTGTCCATGAAAATGTGAAAAAAAGAGAATGGGAGGTGGGTGTATGCCGGGACATCCTCTTCTGATGGAAGGGGTCAGAATAAGCATCCAACAATGTGTAAAATAGATATTCGAATGGATGACAGTCATGGGTGTATGTAATTCCTAGATCACAACCAACTTACGTCTACCTGAGTCAGAGTCAGAAGAGATGCTCAATGTCTAACGGTGGCCGTAAGGTATAACACACGGGGAATCGGGTGTGTATGTCAATGATTGAAAGGGACACCCAAAGAATAGAGACGGACTGCTCATCACGGTATCAACTGTGAGCATGCTCTAGACAGTACTGAAATTGATCAAAGCGTTGCTGACGAGCGTGAATCCCATTCATTTTTCAGTTATCAACAGCGATTTGTTGTCGTGGATGTACATGTTTGGTGTTATATCATCCAGGCAACGGGTACATCGACTTCGAAGAGTTCCTTGGGATGATGGCGAAGAAGATGCAGTCTCGGGACTCGGAGGAAGAGATAAAGGAGGCGTTTAAGGTGTTTGACAAGGAAAGCAAAGGGTACCTAACCTCGGATGAGCTGCGTCATATCATGACTACCATGGGGGAGAAGCTGACGCATGAGGATGTCGACGACATGATCAGAGAGGCGGATCTGGATGGGGACGGAAAGATTGATTACCTTGGTGAGTGGACAGGGCATCCGGTTCGAGAGCGGAGAGGGAGTGTGAAGTCTGCCGACGGATTGGTCGAATAGTGCAGAAAGATGTATGATGTGGTGTTTTGATTGAGCTGTCGGATGTGAAGAGTGCATGAGATAAACTATACATAATATTGTTCGGATAGTCATGAGAACAACTTGAGTGAGCGATATGAGAGAGTTATGGAGCTGGTATCAGCTAAAACAAAGCGTGTATGGGAGAGCTATGGAGTGGTAATCATTTAGAGATGCGTGCGTTGGAGAGTGATGGAGTGGGTATCAGTTAGAGAAGCGTGTATGGGAGAGTTATAACTTGGGTATCAATGCGATATGCGTGTATGGGAGAGTTATGTCTTGGGTATCAATGCGATATGCGTGTATGGGAGAGTTATGTCTTGGGTATCAATGAGAGATGCGTGTATGGGAGAGTTATGTCTTGGGTATCAATGAGAGATGCGTGTATGCGAGAGTTATGTCTTGGTATCAGTGAGATATGCGTGTATGGGAGAGTTATGTCTTGGGTATCAGTGAGATATGCGTGTATGGGAGAGTTATGTCTTGGGTATCAATGAGAGCTGCGTGTATGGGAGAGTAATGTCTTGGGTATCAGTGAGAGAAGCGTGTATTGGAGAGTTATGGCATGGGTATCAATGCGATATGCGAGTATGGGAGGGTTATGTCTTGGGTATCAATTAGAGATGCGTGGAAGGTTATGTCTTGGGTATCAATGAGAGATGCGTGTACGGGAGAGTTATGTCATGGGTATCAATGTGAAAGGCGTGTATGGGAGGGTTATGTCTGAGTATCAATAAGAGAAGCGTGTATGGGAGAGTTATAACCTGGGTATCAGTGAGAGATGCGTGTATGGGAGAGTTATGTCTTGGGTATCAATGAGAGAAGCGTGTATGGGAGAGTTATGTCTTTGGTGTCAATGAGAGAAGCTTGTATGGGATAATTATAACTTGGGTATCAGTGAGAGATGCGTGTATGGGAGAGTTATGTCTTGGGTATCAATGAGAGAAGCGTGTATTGGAGAGTTATGGCATGGGTATCGATGCGATAGGCGTGTATGGGAGGGTTATGTCTGGGTATCAATTAGAGATGCGTGTATGGGAGGGTTATGTCTTGGGTATCAATGAGAGATGCGAGTACGGGAGAGTTATGTCATGGGTATCAATGAGAAAGGCGTGTATGTAGGTTATGTCTTGGGTATCAATGAGAGAAGCGTGTATGGGAGGGTTATGTCTGGGTATCAATGAGCGAAGCGTGTATGGGTGAGTTATGTCTTTGGTATCAATGAGAGAAGCGTGTTTAGGAGAGTTATGTCATGGGTATCAATAAGAGAAGCGTGTATGGGAGAGTTGTTTCTCGGGTATCAATGAGAGAAGAGTGTTTTGGAGAGTTATGTCAAGAGGTGTATATAAGGGTATTCAAATTAACGGAGCAAATACAAACTGCCGGGCAAATGAAAGTATACTCCAAAGGTTTGATGGCGGCTAAAATGACACAAAACAGACATGGTTATGTTGTGTTTGTCTGTTTGTTGCTCTCAGCAATATTCCAGCTATATGACGGTGGTCTGTAAATAATCGAGTCTGGACCAGACAATCCAGTGATTGATATCATAAGCATCGATCCGTGCAATTGGGAAATGATACATGGTGAAGTATTTGATACGGGTATCACAGTTGTGTTTTGGAGCTTAATCATCCTAGTAACATTTTCATAATGTTTGTTCATCAAATCAAATTTTAGTGTATATTTTTTTCCCACGGCAGTGTTTTTAATAAAGAGATACCTTATGATAAAACTTCCAAATTTGCGGTTGTTCACCTTTGAGTAAAATTCACAAAATGAATGCCAATTTTAGCCATTTCTTTTTTTCAGATGGCTAAATATGCACAATCGATACGATTATTAATGTAATTATTTGAAAGGTTACACGAAACGTTTGATGAAACTTCTTTTATATAAACGTTATAATACTTCATGTTGTATAATTTGTGCACAGAGTTCAGCAAGATGTTGGCATCCGGATGTGAGCAGCAAGCCCAGTCCCTTTTGCAGCCCTAGTCGACATTACATAGACGTGGAACTATCTGTTTCCCAATACCAGTTTGTGCCTATTTGAAGTTATGGCTGTGTACTCGTCATCATCTGTGATAAAACAAACGATTAGACACATTAGTGTTACGTATGTGCGCAATGGAGTGTGCGTCCGAACGTGTCATTATGCTGCTGATACTGGGCCCATGGCAAGCTCCATCCTTGTGACTGGCTGGATGGACACAAGGGGAGACCACTCTCAATCGCCAACACTTAGTCAAGGAGATGTCACATGTCAGACTGTTGATAATTAAGTCATCTCATTACGAGCCATCATTTCGCATCCGCTGTCCAACATGTTGTTCTTGATAAATGTTTAATGTTGAATATGTAAATTATTGTATGTCCATACATTTATGTGCCATAATGTTTATGTATCAGTTTTACCCAATTTATCCGTATTGAAAGGAGTTCATCTCTTTTTATACTGACATTAATTTTCTTGCTGGAGATTTGTTAATGTGTTTGGATTGGTTTTATGAATGAAATATTTATCCTTGACATTCCAGTATATATGTAAAATTGTTATAGCACAAAGACTAACTAGTTCACGCAGTCTTTGAACAAATAGCTTCGATCTAGTGTTCAAAAACAAATTCAAAATAAGGGATATCTGCATTTGTGAAATTGTTTCATTGTGTGTGATTATCAATATCGATCATCGCTTTATTCAATAAACAATCGTTGAGTATTTCTGTTTTTTATCTTGATGCGTTTCATATTGACTAGTAAACTCCGAGAGACTCCCTTGGTATCTATTTTGCATTCTCAGACTCAGACTCTCCGACTCAGACAACACAAATTCAAAGGGTCAACGCCAGAGAACAATCAGTATTTAATATCTGACGAAACAGATTCCTTTGTGCGTAAAATGCAAAATAGTAGTGGAAATTATACGAGGGGCGTTCAATAAGTTTTGCAACTTAAATATAAGACCAAGTCGCAGAATATCTTTTGCACTTTTACTTTTCAATATAATCTCCATTCACCCCAATACACTTATTCCATTTATCCTTCAAGCTTTTAATACCACTTTTATAGAAATCCGCAGATTGGCCCTCTAACCACGCCTCTGTGGCAGCCTTTATGTCCTCATCATCCTGGAAGCGTCTTCCACGTAGGGTAGATTTCATTTGCCGGAACAGGAAATAGTCACTGGGGGCTAAGTCTGGGCTGTAGGGTGGGTGATTTAACTGTTCGAATCCACATTCACATACGGCGGCCTGTGCTATTCTCGACTTGTGAACCTGAGCGTTGTCATGCAAAAGTAGAATATCACGTGTTAACATCCCACGGTGTTTCTGGCGAATATATTTTCGCAATTCTTTCATTACATTAGCATAATACTGTCCATTGATTGTAGTTTTTGGTGACATGTAATCAATCAGTAATATGCCCCTTGCATCCCAAAATGTGGTGGCCATTCCTTGCCAACAGATGGTTGAGCGCGAAACTTCCTCGGAGGCGGAGAATTGGGGTGCTTCCAATGCATGGATTTCAATTTAGTTTCTGGGTCCCACTGGTGGATCCATGTTTCATCACCTGTCACTAGACGAGAAAGAATTCCGGCTTCATCAGCAGTATAGAGATTCAGGAGGTCTCGACAACTTTCAGGTCTTTGATGGCGATCTTGAGCTCTGAGGTTTCCAGGTACCCATCTTGCAGATACCTTGGACATACCAACATGCTCATGAATAATGGTTCCAACAGTTCCACCTGATATTCGGAATCCCCTAGAAAGTTCAGATACTTTCACTCGTCGGTCAGACAAAATTATTCTTTCAATGGTAGCAATGGTTTCTGGTTGGGTGGCATCTGAAGTCCTGCCTGACCTTGGGTCATCGTCTTTGGACTCCCTACCCCTTTTAAACTGTAGAGACCAACGGCAAACTGTGGAATAGTCAGGAGCATCCTTACCCATCACTTTACACATGCGATCATGGATTTCTTTTGCTTTGCATCACTCCTTGGTAAGGAACTTTATTACAGCACGTTGATCATGTTTGAGAGAATCCATGATTGTGACCACCCTCAGGTGAATGAAGCCAGCACATCTAACTTATTGTTGTGTCTGGAACTTGTTATGAAACTTGTAAACCTGATGTTATGACAAGTGTCACACCTGCCACAAGTTGACATTGTTTGTGTAAACACAAATGCCCAAGTTGCAAAACTTACTGAACGCCCCTCGTATGAATGGGTCACTGACACCTGGTGTTCACTGAAAGATAAGCATGTCCTGCTCTACCTGTAGCACCCGCAACTCACACAATTGTCATTAAAAAAGAAATTGTTATTTGTTGCCTTACGCCGTACGTTGATAAACGTTATACCAACCAATAAACTAGATGTTTACCTAATGATGCTTCCTTTGCATCAGAGACGACTTTAGTATCTTATTGTCAATGTATCGCCGAAGAAGAACCAGAGGATCTCGATTTTGTTTGTTTCAATGTTTTTAGCCATTGGGAAAGATGACATTGAGTTCGAACCACGTGTGCATTTGTCGTTCAAATCGCATTCAAATTTTGCTGTACCAATAGTATTCTATTTCTTTTCTGTTTCTTACAGACATGAAAACAGCTCACCAAGCTGACTTTCTGCCAAAAACATATGTTCTCTACCCACGCTGACATGACACCCAGCACACCCCATACCTCTAGTATGTTTATTCATAATAACAAGTATATCAAGTAAGTAATTTAACTAACTATACAGACTTTTCATTCCTGTCTTTGTGCCACTGGAGCTCTTGGAGGGTAGATATTTCTTAACTCGACACCAATCTGAGAACGCCATTGTATATCCCTTCTCTATTAATCCGGGCAATATGTCAGATTTGCATGCCTATAGACACCCAGTAGGCCCTAACAATTTCTA